CACTCTCATGATGGCTGCTGTGTCCCTGTTTGTAGTTCCCAATCAGCCATCTGAGATGGACCACCACCATGGGAATGCTCATACTGCAGATTGTGGCAGAACCCACCACCCAGGGTTCTCAACACCCAGCTATGGGGTGAAACCAAGAAGCACATGGAATGAGCTCCTTGGGTAGTTTTCTTAGGAGGAACAGCATTCTAACAGAGGCGAAAGGGACATCACTTTTGGGTTCTGAGAATTCACGCTTGGGTTTCAAAGGTCTGGACATACCTCTGACACCATTTGCAAGTAACTTGACTCTTCTGTGCTTTACATAACTGGTACTCAAGGTCTGTGTAGTGTCTGTCATACAAAACATGCTTTCATAATTGCTACCTGTAACAGTGATAGACAGAAGGGAGTTTAGCCCAGCACCTTATCTTTTTTTTTTTATTTTGCAAATTTATTTTTTCACCTTATATATTCTTTGCATAAAATTTAGGTTTTCACTCCTTTGTGTTCTTTGCAGACCATTTCAAAAACACCATCAGCACCCTATGAACACTGTGGTGTTCCTGCACTTTCTAGTCTTTCCCCTAGACCTCAGGAATGCCTGTGCCCACAAATCCTGAAATAGGATGATCTTGTTTGCAACCCAAGAGCCTTAGCAGTGTCTCCTACCCCACTGCAGCTGGTGTCATCACATGTGCAGGGACAGCTGGTGTCATCATCAGTATGGCATTGGGCACAGCATCCTTGGTGTTGACAGTCTGTCCTTATTCAAGAAGGAGCCATCAAATCCATTCACTGCACAGACATTTTGATGAGTACACATAAAACACAAGGTGTGCTACTGTAAGGTAGAAGGTACCAAGGAACCTTAAGAATGCGCTGAGAATTACTGTTTACTGTGGTAAGAATATACTAAAAACAAAACAAACTATAGCTTTTCTTTTTCTTTTCTCTTTCTTTTCCTTTTTGTTGACAAGGTAATGCTGTCTGGACCAGGCTAGCCTTGAGCATCTGGGCTTAGGTGTTCTTCCTGCTTCAGTCTCTGGAACTACAGGCTTCCTTTAATCAAATGGAGTTGTGTTTGGCAGGGAGAATCCCTTTGTCTTTTCTGACATGTCAAAGTGACTGGGAGAAAGGGCAGCATTGCGGTGAGTGCACACCCAAGGTGCTGGCCACAGAGGCGTAAAATGGCCTTTCCAATAGCTGGCTGCACTGTGACATCCTTCTTGCTAGGTCTCCAACTATGACAGAGACTTTATCTTGTGCCTAACATTTGACCTGTGACCTGGCCCAGTGCTAGAACATACATACACACCATGGAATGGTAGGCTTGGATCCCTAGAGCTAGAGGAATTATTTTATTTATTTTTCAATTTTATATCTGTCCATTTGCCTATCTATCTACCTAAGTAACACCTACCTATCATTTACCAATCTACCTTCCTACTACCTACCTACCTATATATGTATCTATTTACCTATCATCTATTTATCTATCTACCTAATATCTTCTCACCTATTATCTACCTACCTATCTATCTATCTATCTATCTATCTATCTATCTATCTATCGTATATCATGTGTGTATGTATGTGTGAACACACCATGTGTGTAGAAGCCAGAGAACAACTTGTAGGAGCCAGTTCTCTCCTTTTACCTTGTGGGTTCTGAGGAATCAGACTCAGGCTGCCAGGCCTTATGGTGAGTGCTTTTACTTGCTGAGACATCTCACTATAGAGGGGTTGTTTTTTAAATGATTATTCTGGCAACAGGAGGTTTTGTCCTCCTTTTGACCTTAGGGTCTATAGCTCTCCAGTGCTGTGTTGTCCCCCTGCCCTATTGCTCTGTAGTCTCGATCTCCCTGTGCCTCTGTCCCTCTACAGGACCATGGCTGCCAGCTGTAGGAATGGGAGTACAGAGCCCGCCCTGCCCAAGGCCTCAGGCACTTTGAACACCAGTAAGGCCACTGTTTGTCTGTAGGCAGTTTGGTTGTGGCTTTTTGATCTCGGGGATACAAATAAGGGCGCTGGGAACCACCAATTAGTTTGTGAATGTAGATGTGATCACACACATGCTTGCTTATAACCTTTCCAGGTTCTTAATTATCTTTATATTGAAATTCTGGCACTTGGTATTAAACACTCCGATGCCCACCACAGCCTCACGTTCCTGGGGCATCCTTGCCCACCACCCCCTGCAGTCTTTGTTCCCAGGACATTCTTGCTCTTCTGAGTTCCAGCTGCTGTCACTACAAGGTACTGATTCATTGCAGGCCCCCAGTCAAAAGATTGGAACTAAGTCAAAATAATTTTTCCTTTTTTTTTTTTTTAATTGACAAGCACTTACTATGTGGATCCAGACCAGCCTCAAAGTCAGAATCCTCCTTCTTCTGGGGTCACAGGCTGTTTCACCAAATGTTCTTTTTCCCTTTTAAAAATGTGTCTCCGGTATTTTCTTACATTTTAACATACCTACCTATGTCAGTCATACGCAACTCAGGCTTCCAATTTTCTTTTTTCTGAGACACTATGTAGCCTTGATCTGCCTGGAATTCACTATATAGACCAGGCTGACCTCAAAGCTCATTGAGCTCAGCCTGCGTCTGCCTTGCAAGCCTTGGGATCAAAGGTGTGCACCACCACAACCAGCTTCTTTGAGCACCTTTGTCACTCAAATGGACAAATCTCAAAATGCATGGAGATGATTGTCTTAAATAACAACGTGTGGGGATGGTTTGTTACAGCATGTTTATCTATGCCCTGGACTAAGTGCTTCTCCAGGCATGTGATTCTTAGTGTTGAAACTGACAGGCCCTGGTCAGCTGTGATGGTGGGTCATGGCTCCTTCCAGAGCATGCTGACCTTGTGATTTCTGCTTTTGTCTCTGTGACTCTGTCTCTTTCTGTTGTCTCTGTGTCTGTCTCTCCCCCTCCCCGAGACAGAATGAACACATGTGGAATAGTGAGTGGGTGGAAATATTTGTCCTTTGGCTGAGTGTCCCCTCCATCCATACTCTAGAGGTGGGCCCCTTCTGGACCTGTATCTGGGCTTCCTTTCCACTTGCTGGCTCCTTCATGGCACAGACCTCTTTGCCTGTGGTCCAGGTATCTGCCTGTTAGCCCCCAGCACTTTTTGGAGACCCAGATAGTTCAGTGGCTGCTCTTCTAGAGGACCCAGGTTTGATTCACTGGCCCCCTCATGGTGACTCCCAACCACCTCCAACTCCAGTTCTGAGGCACCCAACACCCTCTTCTGGCCTGTCTCAAAGCTCTGGATCCCAGATTTGGCTGTTTGCCGGTGATCTTTTCCCATGCAAATGAGGATCCCACAGGGCCATGGTGGGGACTGTACCACTCTGCTTGGCTGCATTTTAGGTACTTAATTCTGGGGCAGATCACAGATCACACACAGCAAACTTTGCTTGGGAAGCTGTGAGGAGTGAGTGTGGAAGGAGCACAGAGATGATACTGACTTCACAGTAGAGCTTTCCCTAGGCAGGTTGTCCTTGATGAAAGGCACCTGGGACGGAGAACTCACTCTCTCACATGACAGACTGTTTTCATTAGGCTTTCAAAAAGGACCTGTCAATGTGATGTCAGTGTTTTCCCCATCAGTGGTTCGTCCTGCCAGTCTCTGCAAACAGTTTGAGCTCTGTCTTGTCCCATCTCTTGGTGACAGGCCCCAGGCCCAGTGCTAGCCCTTTTCTGGATCATGTGCCTCTCTGTATACACTCAGTGTTTACTTCATCACACTGAGGATATCGACCTAGCTTGAGGGACTCAGAAAATCTGCAAAAGGAAGGAAACTATGGTTGGGATAGCTTACTGGTAGAGTGCGTGTCTAGTGTATGTTTGGTGCTTGGAATGAGTCTAGCACTGAGGAAGGGGATGGAACCTAGGGCCTTTTGCATATTAGTTAAGGATTCCACCACTGAACTACACCTTTAGTCTGACAACTTTAAATGAATAAGCTGAATGCAAAAAAAAAAAAAAAAAAAAAAAAAAAAAAAAAGCCATCACACCCTAAAACTCCTCAGGCTCCTAGAGGATACAATGGGTTGTGGAGTCTGTGTCAGTGTCATGAATCATGAATGATTTTTTTTTCTGGGCCTGAACTGTCCTTGTTCTGTGCTCCATGAAGTACAGTGGTTTCCTTCACTGAGCTATACTCATCCAGGCTGCAGGCTCTGAAAGAGGGGCTGGGCCCTGCCAGAGATGGAACAGGGCTGGGAATCTGGAGCATGTGGCCTTTTGTCCTGGCCTAGGAGGCCCAGTGTTCTCTGAGGGGTCATGCTCGCCTGAGGTATGCTCTCAAGGTGTGGCCTGAACCAAAACAACAAGATGAAGCCTCAAAGGTCAACCCCATCGTGGTTATTATTCTCATCCCAGACTCTTGCCTTGGAAGCGGCAGGCGCCTCTGTTCCTGCAGTATATCTCCCTGCCTTTGCAGGTGAAAGGACAAGAGGAGCTCAGCTCTGGGCAATAAACAGCTGCTGGAGACATGAGGCTTTACCTGGTGTCTAATGAGGATGGATGAAAGAGTAAAGGAGAGCTGGAGTTTCCCACAATGCCCCTTTCCGCACTGAGTTTCTCTGGGCATCAACCCAGGTCCTTTTCATTTTAATTAACGCGGTGAACCAGGCTCTGGCTTTCAAAGGAATCTAAGGAAATCTTCCTGCCAAGTCCTGAGTGAATCCGTGTGACACTTAGGAACATGGGCCCAGCTCCTGTGTATGTTAAGGAACTCCGAGGAGAACAGAGATTATAGGCAAACAGTCTACCTTTCTTTACAAGGCCTTGTTCTGCATCCCTGAAATCTCAGATGTAGCTATTACAATGAGGTCCTGTTGCAGAAAGAGCTGACCTTTTATCACCACTTAAGATCTAATTAATCCATACTGAAGCACAAAGATTTCTGTTGTACGTTAGGGTGAGGGGTCATAGAGACCTCTTTGTTCATCTTTAGACTTATACTTGTCAAGCATTGGGGATATAATTTTACCAAACAGATCAAATCCTTATCAGAAAGCCTAACTCATAGTTTTTAACAGAGTCCTTTACCCTTTACATGAAACACTATATTCAAGAAGAACAAAAACGTATTTCAGAGAGCCCAGAGAGTTAATGACCAAAGCTTATATTCAGGGAGCATAGAATCAAGACCTTCACACTACTGTCAACCACAAAGGGAGGCAGGTCCTATAGAGTAAGCTGAGTTGCAACATCTGTTCCAATGGCTTTCATCTTCAGAACGGCCACACAATCTGTAGGGCTTTCACTCTCACTGCTGGGATGGGTTCTAGCCATCATTACAACATATCTGCCACACTGGAAGACCCTCAACCTGGAGCTGAACGAGATGGAAAACTGGACCATGGGACTCTGGAAATCCTGCGTCACCCAGGAGGAAGTGGGGAAGCAATGCAAGGACTTTGACTCCTTCCTGGCCTTGCCAGCTGAACTGCAGACCTCCAGGATCTTGATGTCTCTCTCGAATGGGCTGGGGCTGCTGGGGCTGCTGGCCTCTGGCTGTGGCCTGGACTGCTTGAGGCTTGGAGAGACCCAGAAGGGTCTGAAGAGGCGACTGCTCATCGTGGGAGGGTTCCTGCTCTGGACTTCGGGTGTGATGGTCCTGGTCCCTGTCTCCTGGGTGGCCCACATGACAGTGCAGGAGTTCTGGGATGAGACCCTGCCTGAGATTGTGCCCAGGTGGGAGTTTGGGGAGGCCCTTTTCCTCGGCTGGTTTGCTGGCTTCTGCCTTGTGCTAGGAGGGTGTCTGCTTCACTGTGCAATCTGCTCCAGCCCAGCTCCTCCAGCCTCGGGACACTATGCAGTGGCAAGATTACAACAACACCATCCATACCTGGAAAATGGAACCACACAACCTAAAGTGTAAGCTGCCAGCAGGGCCGAGTCACGTCCTTCATCACTGATGACAAAAAGGTCTCTGCTGTATAACTCAATTGTGCTGCTGACATTTCTTTTTCTTTTGGTCTATACTAGAGGTTTGCCTCTCAAATTTGAAGAATGAAAGGAAGTCTATCTATAGGGAAGTTATGATGACAAACATTAGTGTTTGTCACTAGGTGTAAAAGAACCTCTCGTTGATTTGCTTATTTAAACCAGTGTGTGCTGGGGGTTGTTCAGCCAATCCAGGGCTTGGATGGATTTTCGATGCGGGAAAGTTGTGCTGCTCCACAGTGACTCTGCTCTTGCTTAGCCATCCCCAGGAGCCTGTTGAACTCTACAGGGACTTTAGGGAGCTGGGTGTTCCTGAATGTTCTGGGTGGACCACTGGAGCATTGTGGGCCTTTCCTATTCTCAAGTTGTAGTTGCTGTCTGCCCTCATCTCTTTACTCAAAAAGCTTCAAATTTCTTTTTATCTAGATCCTTTCAGTTCATTTGTCAGAATGCAAACTTCTGTGTTCAGTTACAAATGACAAATGTGGTGATGGATACTGGAGCGGGGCACAATAATGCTGAGTTTGACCCAAAGGCCCTATTGCTTATCTTTCCCACAGCCTAGAAAGCTAATTCAGCAAAGAAGAAGAAAGGAAAAAGAAAAAATTCCCTAAATTGTCAAAGACAGACAACCGTTAGAGCTTATGCACGTGAGTGAGATTAACCAAGGCGTGTAGATAAGTGAGACTCACATTCAGTTCAGTATTGTCTCATGTGCTCTGTAACTCCTATAGCCAAAGAGACTTTCAAAACCGGCCCCATTTAAAGTCTAAAGGGATTCCTGATAAGATTGATTTATTTGGTTAAGAAATACTTCTCTCTGAACCTCTTTTTTTTTTTTTTTTTTTTTTGCAAAGATGGTAACACCCAGTATTATCATAACACACGCACTGAAACTCGAGAACTCTTAAACAGATGAAAATCTGACAGATCTAATTAGCCCAGCACAAAGAGGGAGGAGTGGAAACCAAACCTTCAATTAAACATTTTTTTTTTTTTTTTTTTTTTTTTAACATTTAGACTTAATTCTCTGACTTGTTAGGAGCGCTGGGAATGTGAAAGCCAGGTAAACCTTCACAATGAAAAGATTAGCACAACTTGACCTCAGAGGCTCACTGACAAAGTGCCCTACACAAACTTCAGCCCACGGGACACAAACACGGCCCCGGGCCACACCTTAGCATTACTGGTTCATAGCTGCGTTTCCCTGTCCTCTTCGGAAATCTTTTCAACATGGAATCAAACAATAGTAGACCTGGCAAGCGTCCTCCTATACACACAATGCAAAAGTATGCCTGAGCTCTTTGAGCGCTAAGTGTCACACTTTTTACAGCAAGCGCAGGGCAGGAGTCGGGCTGGCTCATGCTCACAGTTCTAATGGGCTTAGATTTCCGAACAGCCACGCAGTCTGCTGCGCCTCTGCTATCACTGCTGGGATGGGTTCTAGCCTGCCTTACAAACTACTTGCCACACTGGAAGACCCTCAACCTGGAGCTGAACGAGATGGAAAACTGGACCATGGGGCTCTGGAAATCCTGCGTCACCCAGGAGGAAGTGGGGAAGCAATGCAAGGACTTTGACTCCTTCCTGGCCTTGCCAGCTGAACTGCAGACCTCCAGGATCTTGATGTCTCTCTCGAATGGGCTGGGGCTGCTGGGGCTGCTGGCCTCTGGCTGTGGCCTGGACTGCTTGAGGCTTGGAGAGACCCAGAAGGGTCTGAAGAGGCGACTGCTCATCGTGGGAGGGTTCCTGCTCTGGACTTCGGGTGTGATGGTCCTGGTCCCTGTCTCCTGGGTGGCCCACATGACAGTGCAGGAGTTCTGGGATGAGACCCTGCCTGAGATTGTGCCCAGGTGGGAGTTTGGGGAGGCCCTTTTCCTCGGCTGGTTTGCTGGCTTCTGCCTTGTGCTAGGAGGGTGTCTGCTTCACTGTGCAATCTGCTCCAGCCCAGCTCCTCCAGCCTCGGGACACTATGCAGTGACAGGATTGCAAGACCACGGCCAGCAACTGGAACTGAAACACCCCAGCCCAGAAATCTAAGCCAGAGGGATCAGTGGCCTCTCTACTCTTCAGTGGGTGCTTGCTCCAGCTGGACTTGGTAGGATCTCCTGCTATAACCACCCCCTCCTCACTGTGATTTTTGATTTTCTGAAATGTGTATTTCCTTTCTGTGACTACTAACTTCTTCAAATACATACAATTTCTTCCTACAACTGAGCAAAGCACTTGTTTCCTATTTGGAGACCAGATGAAACAGGACCTATTAATGTAATATGTCATCAGCGAGCATAAGCGCTTCATCAACTTCTAAAATAGGCTGTGATTGCACACACACACACACACACACACACACACACACACACACACACACACACACAGGGAACGGGCAAATAAAACATTCTAGGAACACTTGTGTCCCTGAAGGGTCAAGTGGAGAGGAGTCATGTGGGGAACAGATGTGATGGCTGATCATGTACTTTTAGGTGTGTAAGATAACTTACGAAAGCATGGTCTCAGTTCTATACTTATTTAAAATACATGACAAGTGATGGCAGTAGAAACAAAACAACAACAAAACACCTGTTTGGTCCTTAAAGGGCTCAATGGGACACCTCCTTTTCAGAGACCTCAGTGTCTCTAAAGTGCTCCCCACATCAGAGACACCCATGTATGCATGCCTCTGAACAGATCAGAGCAACCATGGATTCTGAGCACTCAGGTAGAATGTGCAATGCACACGTGCGTCTGTGTCCCGTGTGGCAGGGTGGAATGTCCTGCCTGCTCTGGCTCTGTGGCAGAGGTCAGGACGGGCATGTGCTGTGTGGGTGGGCATACTGCCTCCTGGGATGGCTGCCTCTTTTTACAGAACACTGCCGGCTTGGGCAGTTTAACCCAGGAACCACATACTCGTCAGTCCTTGTTTCCCTTGAGAAATGAAAATATCCCATCTCATGGGATATAAATATATGGCCTAAATAAGAACTATTCGTGACAAAGTTTTGGCCTGAGGAATTCTTCATGGAAAATTTTATATTTGCTTGGTACATGGTTCAAGTAGATTCTTGTACTTGTGCCAATCAGGGAAATTAAGTGAACAATAGACAACATTAAAATACAGTGTTAGGAAATATGTATCTTTGTTTAAAAAGATCTGAACTTGTTTTCCATGGACTGTGTAGTGATGGGCTTCACCTGTGTGACCACCTGAACACTTACAAACAGCATGAATGAAAACAGAGACATACTCAGAATTTAACCAGCTTAAATGTTTAGTTCAGTCCTGAGCTTCTCATATTTAACATAATATAAATCCATAGCAGAAAAAAATTTAAATGTATTTAATTTGTATGCTAGAGACTCTGCTAAACTTTGTTCGTTTGGCAAGTAATACTCTTTTTGTACCTGTAACATTTAAGAGTCTGATATATAAAATGGTAATAATATACTGATAATCCAAACTTGACAGCTAGATATTAAATTCGTTTTATTCTGTGAAGAATAATTCTACCTTTAAAAATATTTTTCATAATATTAAAATTTTTATTTGTCCATATGGTTGTGTGATCAAGTTAGTAAAATGCTTTTTGAATCATGGGGTTAATACAAATGTGACAGGACTACATAAAGCTGCCTGTAATACATAAAACTACTGCTGACTTTAGAGTGTGGGAAAAGGGTCTTGCTAGAATGCATTTCTCTCTCATGTTAGAAATGAGCATGTTTTGTAAAATAAAACCAAAGTCCCCCAGTCACAACTGTGAACTACCAGCCTGAGACACTCTATTTTTTAACACTTATCTGAGACTTTTCATATTACAAAAAGTTAGCATGAAGATCATGAAGTTGTAAATACTCCAATATAGCCTCTTGTAAGCCCAACATTTAAGATGGTCAGAATCAAACTATATATTAAACAGAACATAAATAAGACCGTAAATAAATAAATGAAAATAAAATCGTACGGTACAACTACACAAAATTCTATGAACATTTTCGTGGGTCAAATATGATGCTGAGGACAGCTGACCTTTATTTAGCGCTATATTAAATAAAACTCTGCTGTTCACATTTGACCTTGACAAGGATGGATGGCACTCCAGCTTCTCCCAGTTACCCACAGGGCAAACTGGGCAGCCCGGGAGAGCACTCAGCCTGCCACTAGGCTCTTTTTTTTTTTTTTTGTTCCAAGTAGTGTCACGTCCAGTTACATCTCCTAAGAGGTTGGGTAAGCTGCACAACATTTAGGGGAAAAACGGTTGAAGGTTTAGGTGCAGTAACTTGATAATTGAAGTTCTGGCTGAGTATAAATATTGATTCTGATAAAATGAACTTTCTAAAATATGCATAGATTCAAAAAAATAAAAATTCTTACTAATGGGGATTCCAGCAAAACATAATTCTTTTTTAAAGATTTTTTTCTTGCCTAACTTTTTTTAAATTCCTATAAAATTATTTTGCATTAAAAAAATAAAAAATAATTTAGCTTGCTATATAAGATGGCTCACCATAACACGGCTTCTTCCAGTATGAAGACTAAGTAAATATGGTTTAAATGACCTAAAAACTATGTATTTTAACACTTGTATGCTGGCAAAGCTATACTGAGCCTTTTTTTTTTTTTTTTTCCTTTTTCTTTTTTTAAGAACTGCCCAGGTCTGGTGAGTTAAGAGTTAAAACCTAACCTGAAGAGCAGGACACTTTGACGATTTCTAGCTCAAGCTTGTTCACCCAGAATATATATTGTTGAATGATCCAGTCCACACTCCGAGCCCTCTCAGGAACACTCTTTGTTTCTGCTTCTGACTGCTTTCTATGAATCACTGATAGAATCCCCTAAAGATGACAGCTGCGAAATAATTTCAAGTAAGTGTAGAAACCTGTTGATTAACTCTCTTCTGTTTGGCAAGTCTGATCTCATTAAGATACGCCGTGTCCTCATCTCACCTAATGAATATGGGTGTGTCCCCTCCACACAGCCTGCACTCAATCAGAGCCCAGGGCCACCACCATATGGTTCTCTGTGGCATTGTCTGTATCCCTAGGACAAAACCTGGCACAGGCCAGAAACTGACAAAGTCCTGCAGGTTCAGATTGCGTTAGAAGCAGTGGCCACTCAAGCGCTAGCTGAGCTTCCTTGGTGTGATTTCTGGGAGATGGTGCCCCCTCCTTTTCTCTCTGTCCCAACCACAGCTCTCAACAGTAAAAGTATACGTTTGATTTTCCTATTCTTATACTCAGTATTCCATGCTTTTGTTTTCTTTAGACAAGTTTAGGAGGGCAGAAAGAACTGCCGTGCGGAAACAAGGTGGCCAGACATAGCTGATGGAAGGAACAGGGCATCTGTTTTGGGAGGACTCGAGTGATGCTTGCTTGTGTGCACATTCGAAGGAAAGCGTGGCTTTCTAGACTGGTGTGGTACCAGCTTCACGACTCCGGGATGGCTGCTTTCTGCAGTCGGCTCAGCAGACACTAGGCACTCTGCCTCTGTTCGTTCTGCACAGGGAAACCCAGGGGTGACACACACACATACACACTGTACAACAAGTGTGGACCAGGTTACCCCACTTTTGTTGTGTGAATTTTTTTCCTTCTAAAGCATGTAAGAGTTACATTCAACTCACTTTACAGATTAACCTGATGAAACTGGTGTGGAATGAAAGTTCTTCAAGGGTTGACAGTTATGTTACAGGAAACAAAAGCCCCTCCCCCAACAAAAACCAAAACCAGTACATGTTCAGTCTTTGACCCTCCCTTGGAAAGTGAGCAGGCGAGAAGCCTCGAGGTCACACATCATCAGCTGGCAGGGACGGGATGCTGATCTTTGCTCGTGTGAAGTAGGCTATCTTCTCCCTAGACAGAGAGAGAGAGAGGGAGAGAACCACTCAGTATGAGCCTGCACGTTCTGACAATCCCAGAAACTACACTTAAAATCACAAAAGCCTTCATTTTTAATATTTTACTAAGTGTGTGTGTAGGGGGTGTGCATGCCATGGTGTTGGGGTGAAGTCAGAGAATGACATGCACAACTTGTTGTAGGAGTCAGGCTTCTCCTTCCTCGTGTGTCCTGGGGGTTTGAACTCAGATCATCAGGCATGGAATCAAGTGCCTTTCCTCACTGAACCATCTTGCCAGGCTGAGTCTTCATTGCGTTAAAGAGGGGGTAGGGAGTACACACAGCTCCCCTGGCTGTAAGTCCTCTACACGCCACACCAGTAAGTTCCCCTAGAGTTTCTGAAGAGCATCTGTTCCACCAGGGGTGTGGGCTCTGTTCGGATATTTCTAGGCTAGGGCAGGAGAAGATTCAAGAGGGCTGAAATTCCCAGAGACCTTAGAGAATCCTAAACTAACTCACGTGAAGGCAGGGATGGGAAGACTAGGAGTGACACCTGGTTGTCTGTGTGGTGGGGAGGCACTGCTCATGTTTTCTTGAGCTGTTCTCCACATTATTATTTTAATTTGTTCATTACATTTATTTATGTGTGTGTGCGTGCGTGCGTGTGTGTGTGTGTGTGTGTGTGTGTGTGTGCGTGTGTGTGTATAGGTTGGAGGGCGCCCTGTGGAGTCGGTTCTCTCCTTTCATTGTGTAGGTCCTAGGGAACTAACTCATGTAGCCCACCTTGGGGACAGATGCCCTTAACTGTTGAGTCACCTTGCCAGCCTCTCACCTCAGTTTTTGAGACAGAGTCTCTTACTGAACTTGGAGCTTGCTGATTCCTCGAGACTGGCTAGCCAGCAAGCTCCCAGAAGCCTCCTGCCTCAGCCCACCTCAGCACTGCATTTACAGGTCACCTAGCTTTCATAGGTGGGCAGTGGGGGACTGATCTCAGGCGTCCACACTTGAACAGCAAGTATTAGTCACTGAGCCATCTTCTCAGCCCCCACTTGAGTATCTCAGGAGGAAAACCACCCTGGGAGACCCTTCCAGGATGGGGCAGAATGGGATTCATGTTAGGACAATGATAGGAAAAATAAGGAGTGTACGATGGCCAAGGATGACAGCGCTTATCGTCTTAGGAAACTTCACATGCATAGCATGCTATCAGTCATTGCATTGAGGGTATGTTCCACACTGAGCTGTGCTTTTGGCAGCTAGGAGGAAGGACCGAGCTCGCTCTCCCAACACACAAACAACGGTGTAAATGGAGAAAGAGAAAAGAGTGAAAAGCAGGGTTCTGGACAGGGTTACTATGATGCAGCATCCTTTGAGATTGCCTAGTTCTGTAAAAGATGAGCAAGGAGGTTAAAAAGGCCAGAGGCTGTCACCATAATGTCTGGGAGGCCACACAGCCCTGCCAAACCCTGCAAGGATTTAACTACACATCAGTTATAGCGCCTGCCTCGGAGTCACAAGGAATCTTTGCTGACTGGCCTGAGCAACATGACACCGAGGGACACTGGGCCCCTGTCTCCACATGAACCAAGAGGCTGAGGTAGGGCTGTGCTTGGCCCCACCTGCTGCCACTCCTTACTCTCCCACCACCCTAGGCACCAAGGAGCACATTCAGCTGTCATAGGTGTCACCCAGTTCCCACATGGTGTGTCTTACCTCACTCCATCACTTGCCTTGTGATATCAATGGATTGGTCTCCCCGCACCCACTGGCCCCCAAGAGAGGGTCTCATTATGTAGCCCTGGCACTCACTATGTAGGCCAGCTGGCCCTGAATTCACAGAGATCTGCCTGCCTCTGCCTTTGCCCTGCTGGGACAAGGGGCATGTGCCACCACCCCAGGACAGGTGGCCTTCCATCTGCCATGAATTCCCCCTTCCCTGCTCTCAGACAGCATCTCTCTCGATTTCTCCCCAGAGCCTAAAAGCTAGCTAGTCAGCTTTCTTTCTCACTCTATTTTTTAACGCGCGCCCACGCATGTGTGTGTGCGTGTGCGAGCATGTGAGAGAGGAAGGAAGAAAGAGGGGGTGGGAGAGAGGGGAAGAGAGAGAAGGGGAGGGAGAGAGAGAGGGAGGGAGAGCCTGTCACAGTATATGTGGAGGTCAGAGGACAGCTCATTGGAATTGGTTTTCTCCTTCTATCATGTGGGTTCCAGGCATCAAATTCAGGTCATCAGGCTTGGCTGCAAGCTCCTTTGTTCACTGAACCATGTTGCTGGCCCAAGCTTAGAAGCTCCCTAAGGATTTCTCTATACAAAACCCAAGCCTAACCTAAGATGAACATAAAAAACAAGTAACCTGTGACCCTCTTGTCACTTGACCAACTGATACGGTCTCCAAGGCCTCCATGTCACATGATTTGGGGACATTTCAATTCTCTGCTATGTTTCTGTGTCCCACAGTCCGTCCTTCCTGGCCCTTCAGCTACGGGGCCACACCCCGGCTCATTGTCTAGCTCTTGAACCCCCCCTCCTTTTTATTTTTGCCAGCACCCAGCAGGTGTCCTCCCCTGGTCCTCTTCCCCCACTTTCTTGGATGTGCTGCCCATTTCCACCATGGGAACCACCACCGTGAACCTGCAGCCTCCTCCTTGTTTTGATTTATGACTGTCCGATGGCTGGAGTTACCTGGGCTGTCTGTCCTACAGCATGGTTAACCAGGCTATGTAAAAGCAGGATGCAGGAAGTCCTCACTGTGAACATTCTCCTCCCTTCTGCCTCAGTTTCCTCGTGCCTCCAATGCCTGCCCCCACATGCTCCCCGTCTTGATTTTTGAATTCAGAGACCTGGCTCCCTCAGTACCCAAGCCACAATTGAAATCCTTCGGTGTGGCATTCAGGCCCTGTGGATTCTGAGTCCCACTCTACCTGACAAGCTCGCCTGGGGCAGCTCTGCCACACACAGCTGTGCTGGGCTGACCTGCAGGCTGTGCCTCACTCCCACCACAGCCAGGGCCTGAAGGTCCAGTGGAATCCTTCCGCGATGGACTCCAGTGATGTTTTCCTTTGAGCTGACGCGCTAGCGCCTGCATACCTGGCCTACACAGATTGATTCTTCCTATGTGCTCTTATCCTATCGCTACTTATCCACACGGCTCTTATCCTATCGCTACTTATCCACACGGCACTGTGGGACTCTGTTCTCTCAGTTTGGAGGTCCTCTATAGGAGTAGGAAGAGTGTGTTCCCTTGTTTTACTGTGGGGATCAGCACAGTGCAAGGTGTGTGGTGTGGTGTGTGTGTGTGTGTGTGTGTGTGTGTTGGAGAAGAACGGTACCCAAGGTGTGTCTAGAAAATGAATGAGCAAAGTTCCCCAAAGACCTATGACTTTTCTGTATCCTGGGTGGAGCTTTCTCAATAATAGTAAGAGAGGTTCTGGACTCCCAGGGAGACAGGTTTAGTGGGTGTCACCTCAGGATAGGACACACGCAAAACTATATTCATACCAGGGAGAGACATAGTGGTAACTCTCACTTAGTCCTGGGGTGAATACATGCCCAATCACACCACCTGAGAGAGACACCACCCAGCTGGTCCCATGAAGCCATTTACCTGAAGGACTGCACCTGCCGAGGCACCTTCCGGCTCTGCTCCCGCAGCCGGCACACATCCTTGGAGACCTGCCTCATCAACTTCTCTGCATTCAGGTCTTGCTTCTGCTGTTCTTTTGTCTGCTCAGCCTGGCAAAGGAAATCAAAATCGGATTAGAAATGCTGCAAGGCTAAGCTGGGAAGCCAAGCAGGCACAGTCAAGGGTGTCTTTGGATGGGCAGAAGGGGGCAACACCCACATGCTCAGCCAAGGGGAGGAGGCACTGCCTCATCCAGAGGTGAGTTATTTTAATCATGTTAAAACGTTTTGCTTCTGGAAAACCTGAGAACTCTCAAAAACAAACAAACAAACAAAAACAAAACAAAACAAAACAACAACCACAAAAAAATAAAACTGAAAACTACTAGCATCTCTCAAGTAACATTTTGGCAAATACACTTGCAAACTCTTTCCTGCTCTCAGCCCCTCTCCCTGCGTCAGCCAATTAAAGAGCTTCCTAAAGGGCATTGGACTTACTCAGCAATGGCACATATAAGTATAGAGCTCCAAGACCCTCACACAGGGACACACCAAGTAGCCTGTTGCAGGTGAAGGGACAGAAGGTGCCATCCCCTAGTCCCCTTTCGGCACCAAGTTCTCACTGCTGATTAAGGCTTTACTAAAATTAACTTTGTGTTGTCAATAATGACACTTGGATATATTATATACATACATATGTTTACATATTTAATACAAATGGACCAATAGTGTTCTCACTGACAGCTGCTTCTCCCTTTCATTCATTTGCTCACTTAATCAGCAAATATATATATGGATCACCTTCAGGAGGGGTATTTTATGTTGGTGAATGTGGCAGATCCTGGGGCTGACTGTCTGATTCAAAGTCCCTTTTGAGCACTTCCTAGCTATGAATCCGAGAAAGGGGCTTGGATAGTTCTTGGGCCATAGTTTCTTTGGGAGCAAGTACTTCTGAGGGCTTTGGAGTTTAAATGAGCTAATCCAAGTGAATCACTCAGAGTCTGATTCAACACATCATTAAGCCTACTACCTCAGTGTTTAGTCATTCCCGCTGTATTCCTGTAGGATATGCACTCTATTAGAAGAGTTAGGACTTGGACACAGTGAGAGATGAGCAGTAACAGTGACAGAGCACAATAGCCATTACAACACCTGGAACCACCAGTCCTTCACCTCTGCAGTTTCCTATTTAACATTTCTAGTTCACTAAGGCTGAGACCATGTGTATCTATGACTGTGGACAAGGGAGACTATGGATTTGGCGTTTTGTTTGTTTGTTTTGAAAGCTGCTTTAAAAGGAGGAATTCCATGGGCAAATGTTGGTGTCCTTCCAGGGTAACTTCCTTCCCAGTCTTCCCAGCGGCACCTGGGGAGCTGCCAGGGCTGTGGCAGACACATCGTCCTGTGGGTACTGCAGCGGGACTGCTCAGTTGGCGGGCTTCTTTTGGTCCATTTCTGGACTACCAGGCACCTTCCCCTCCTACTCCTCATGAACTCTCCTCCAGGCCTTGGCCTGGGATTTGCTTGTTTTCTGCTGTCCCCCCCCCCCACACACACACAATGAGAGTACCCGGGACTTTCAGAACAGAATATTAATATATTTGACGATTTTTTTTCAGTGTAGACTAACTTTCAAAAGTTTTAGCATATGTATCACTTGACGTTGAAAACAAAACAAAACAAAAACAGCAAATTCCTCACATCGTGGCATGTTGACATGGAAACAATCCGAGGAAGAAAATAGGCTTCTTTGAAGAACAGAGTCCTCCCTCCACCCCCTCTAGTTCTCCTCTGGCTCATGAGAACTGGCCACTTTCTATGCTTGAGACTCCAGAAGGGAATGATTAGCCTTCGGTTTACATGATGGAAGCCTGCCCCGCAGAAAGGTGCAGTGACTCACAGCCATGTTAAGCCTGATGGAACAAGGAACATAGCGGTCTAAATTTACAGTCCTCGGCTTTCTCACTCTGCTTCCTAAGGGGGAAGTACAATCTGAGGGCACGGGCATTTGGTTTTTACTGTAAGCTATAAAAGAGGCTTTCGGCTGCCAACACGGAGGTTTACGGAGGACGACACGCTTAGAGCCTATGCGGGAGGCAGATCCAGGGTCTGCTGCTGGCCTGAGCACAGCTTCTCTAGGAGGCATATATTTTTATTGCAATTGGCAGGGTCACTGTGAGGTACTTTATGATGACCCGATGAAAAATCACAGATCTCCAGTACCAAAGGAAATGGGAGAAATAAAAGGGTGGTGTGTGTACAGGCTGCTGTGCCCATGTGCACACTGCCAGTGGGTGTGAAGATGAAGAAACACAAGGAGAAGATGGACCAGTGGTGACTGCACACTTCTGCAGCCGTAACAAAAGGCTCAGTATGGATTTTCAGAGCTGTTTATTACAAATTTCAGTTACAGAGAAAAAAAAAAAAAAACAAAAACAGTACGTGATACAAACAGTTTATCTACCCACAGAGTTGGTAAAAATAAAGATAAAGACTCTCTGTGCTCAGGGACTCAAGTCATTTTTAAAGCAGTATAAATGTGCCTCGTTTTGTGAGTCCTGCACCACCGTTTGCTGTAAAGCTGTCACAAGGCAGAGGGAGCACGGACAGAGTGCACTCAGGGGTTGACACTGGCCGTGAGGGGAACTCTGACCTCCAAAATCAGGATGCAACTTAACTGCCCTTGGAGCAACATTAAAGGTGGGGTCTAGAGAGGTATCAGAGCACCGGACCTGTCCACGTGGGGGTGTGCAGCCTTACAGCACTGGCATCTATTTCCACTTCCATCAGTGAGAATGTCTCCATCCCGGGGTCCACTACAATCACCTGAGTTTCCTCTCCTTCCCTCATTATCTTGATGACAAAATGATTGTGAAACCAAGCCCTTCAGAAAGCACAGCTTGGAATTCTGTTAAGATGCCAGCATGTCCACTACATGCCAGCGACCACAGCCACCATCAGACATTACAGGGCTAGGCACATGCTAGCATCATTTCATATGAAACAACCACAGATTAATGATGAGGAAAAGCATCATTTTACTAAAGAGAATTCTAAGGTGTCAGTCTTTAAGACAAGAGTCCAAAGCTGGAATGGGAAGCCTGACAAAGCAAAGGAGATCCTGGCCATTACACTTCGACTTTCCCTCCCCTACAGTATGGTATGGAGCCCAGAGCTTCTCTTTTGTCAGGCAAGTGCAGGACCACTGAGCTACAACTCATGTCTTGACTCTTGGGAATTCTTGTTTTATTGAGACCAGGTTTTATGTAGCCCAGGCCGGCCTTGAACTTACTATGTAGCAGAGAATAACCTTGGAATTTCTGGCCTTTCTGCCTCTATCTCCTCAGTGCTGGGATTACAGGTATGCATCATCTTCGTGCCCAATCTTCTGTAGTACTGGGGGAATGAACCCAAGACCTCATGCACTCTGGGCAAGAACTCTACATCTCCAGTGCCTCTTTGAGGTTTTAAATGCAAAATGGAAAGGTGAGCTTTCCAGGGTTTCCAGGCAGCTCTGAGCTTCAGCAACCAGATTTGCCTCGTGTATGTGGGCAACACCTTGTGTGTTGCACAGGACCCATTCTGTGAGGAAAACACATGGGATGCAGTGGTAGCTGACTGCTGGCAAGGTAACCACACTCAGCTATGCTCAGTTATGGCTGGGCTGTGACTGCAGAGTCACAAGGCCTGTGAGACTGGAGGAGCACCTGTATGGTAACTGGTGCTGCGCACGAGTACCCACCGTTACACAGGGACTTGTGAGACCGATAATAAAATGCTAATGAGGAGGTCAAAGTGGAGTCACCTCCTAGGTCATATAATTGTTAGATGACTCCTCAAAGAGGCCACTCACAATGGAGTTACTTCAGTTTCATATTGTAAGAGGGAAGTGTTTTAAAAATATGTCATTATATTCTGTTTATTGGTATTTTATTGAGGGTTTCTGCATTTGCAGTCATAGTGAATTCAGCCAGGGACTCTCCTTTTTGATAGTATCTTCTCTTTTAGAATCCGGAATTTAGCCACACAGATTTAAGTATGGCCTATTTTTCTTGATGGTAGGAAATTGAGACAATTTGTTTTTTTAAAGTTTGGTGGAACTTATATATTGACTTGATGGTTTCTTTATGGATAGACTTTAAATTTCTGCTGCCATTTCTTTAACAGACAGGACTTTTCAATCTCCTTTTTAAATTAGCTCTTGTATTTTCCTAGACATGTGTCTAAATTGTGGGCATAGAATGTTTAACACATTCAAAGAATCATTTTAAATCTCACATTTGTTTGGACTGGTCATCAACATCCTAGCCTCTTTCTGTTGCTGTAGCCAAACACTTGAGAGAAACCGTAAAGGAAAGAAAGGTTCCCTCTGGCACAGGGTTCAGATCCATTGTATCTGAACCCATGCAGGGAGGCAGGGAATGACTGTGGGGAATGTGAATCCATGCAGGGAGGCAGGGATGTGCCATGGAGCCTAGGCTTATCTGGAAGGCAGGCCTTTCAAAGGCACCCACGTGACTCCCCTTTCCCAGCTAGACTCCCACCTTCCAACAACCCCTTCAGCTATGAAGTCCTCTGCTGAGGAACTTAGTGTCCTTGTGGCCCAGTTGCTCCTCAATGCTGCCACCAGGTGGGACCAAGCATCTCAGTTCAAAGACAAACTTGTTAGGGAGAGTTCTTTTCTAATAGATGCTTCCAAGGAATTATCTACTGAACCATCAAAAGAATAATGTTTAGATTATCTGTAGAAGTGAGTACTGACTGCTAAACCAAAATATAAATCCTAACACTGAGAATAAATCAGTATTATACTCAGGCAAAGACAGTAATATTTAGTCAGCGCATTAGGAAAAAAAAATCATCCCATTGGAACATTTGCCTTTTGCTAGGAGGGATGGTGCACACCTGTGACACCAGCACTTGGAAGGCTGGGGCAGGGGCATTGATTGCATGTTCTCCTGTTTGCTTTGTTTGTATCTTTGAGACAGGGTCTCGGTGTGTAGCCCTGGCTGTCCCAGAACTCACTATGTAGACCAGGCTGGTCTCAAACTCACAGAGATTTGCCTGTCACTGCTTTTAGAGTGCTGGGATTAAAGGTGTTCTTAAAGATTAGCCTGAACTATTCAGTGAGAAGCTGTCTCAAAAATACTAACAAGACCTCCAAAAGAAAAAACCAAAACCAACCCTGCAATAACAACAATAAAACCTGTGTATGGTGGTACACACCTTTAATCCCAGCACTCTGGAAACAGAGACGGTGAATCTCTTTGAGGCCAGCCAGCCTGGTCTACATAGCAGGTTCTAGGCCAGCCAGGGCTACATACTGAGATGCCCCCAAAGCAAAACAAAGTATTTGTTTATTCAGTCATCTTACCTTCTTTTCTATACATGTTTTTAGAGTGAGAGGCAAGTGCATGCTATGAAAGTGCAATGTGATCTTTTCTCAAGAAAGGAAAGCGAAAATTTAGAAACATTAAAATTAGCAATGTATTTTTAACTAGCGTGGCTAACGAAGCTTCGAAGTGTTGAACTGTAAACAGTATGCACCATTGCTGAATCACTGGAAAGCCGCCTTTCTGTCAGGAGATTACAAAGCTGCCTGGGGTTGGGCGCACAAGCACTACCACTGCAATATTGGGGGGAGGTGGAAAGCGTGTGCCTCAGTCCTAGGAAAACGATGGGGAGATGCCTACCCTGGGACCCTACGCCACGGTGCCTACCACCCCAAGGATGCATCTGCACCAGGCCCTCCATACCTGCTTCTCTGCTTGCTTTAGAAGCTTCTGGAATCTCTCATCCTCCAGCACGCCTGGGGGAAGGTCAGTCTCTCCCTGAGCTTTCAGCTCCTCCAGCTTCTGCCGTAAGTCCCTCAGGGCCTGCAGCTCATCGTTGAGGCGACTCTGGCGAGTCAATGATGCCTGCAGGTCCAGCTCCAGGTCTAGAGATGTGCGCACGGGACATTCCTGAGCAGTCCTCCTGAGGGTGGGTTGGCAGACTGCCTGCGGAGGAAGACACAACAGATCCCCGTTACTGTCTCTGCTCTTCCTCCCATGACAGGACATAACTGTGGCCACACGGCTTGCTTTGGCCAACGACAGGGCAGTGGGTGAGGTATCACCTCTAGGCAGGCACTTGTCAAAGGTGCTGTGAGAGCTGTACACTTCTGCCTCCTACTGGGGACACAGCAGTGAGCCAGACAGAGAGCTAGACAGAGAGGGAAGCTCCATCAGCCTGGGTACCAGTGTGAGCAGCAGGAGCTGGTACCAGGCCAGCCTGCCACTTAGTAGCTGAGCATGAAAGAAAGCTGTATCATTTTAGACTGACAGAGATCTAAAAGTGGGTACTAGCCCAGTGAGAGGGCTCAGCCTGAAGACCTGGGTTTTATCCTTGGGACCTACATGGTGGTAAAGGCGGAGAGAAAAGCTCCCTAGGGAAGGGGCCAGGTTTTAAATTCTCCCACACTCAAGAGATGGACATGGCAGAGACCCTGAAGCCCCCATTAGAAATGGTGGTTCAACTCCTGACACTGGGGGCTTAGCAACTACTTTCTCCAAAGACAGTGCAAACCAGTTTCCAGCCTTAAGTGGCACAGGTTCTAAACCATGGCCAAACACATCCTCCTTGGCTCAGAGGCAGCTCTGTGAGACCCAGGGGCTTCCCTCACCAGCCTGAGAGCTGGGAACGCTGACTCTCAACCCTTCTGGAATTCATGTTCTTCAACTCTGGCTCAGGGAATACATACCCTTTTAACCCGCAAACTGCGTCTTTCGGTGGAGTTTCTCACAAACAATGATTTTTTGGCTAAGGTTGAACTGTCACTGTCACTCCGATTTAACTGGTAAGCAAAGATAAAAAAGACAGGAAAATAATTACAAAGTAACCAACACAGTTAGTGACAGTCAGGTTGTGAGAGGCCATGTGACCCACCCTCTTCTCACCCCACATCTTCTGTGCTGGGGATCAAATCCAGAGCCTCACACATGCTAGGGAGCTGATCAACCACAGGGCTTTATGTGCAGCCTATGAGCTGTATTTTTCAAAATACATAATTTCTTCCCTACTCTTTGGTTTTCTGAACTTAATTTTCTTAAGTAACTTCCAGGGCTGCCTTTTGGTAGCAGTCATCACAGTCTGTATATAAAGCTGTTTTATGAGGTGGTGAGCTCTGTACTTGTAGCTCACATGGCTTGATTCTCTAAAGGATGGTGGTGAGAGCCTGTGCTGTGGGAACGCACATGCTCACTCCTCGCTAGGCTCCGGCTCTGCTGAGGTCACCTCACCAAGAAAGGCCACTCAGAGCCCTTCTGGTCACTCCAGCCCCATAGCCTTGCTCTTCTGTTTCCCACAGCATTGATCACACCAATAGCAACTCACAGCTTCCTCAGCGTGCTTACCATTTGTGGTCTGGCTCATTGACAAGAACAAAAGAGAAGGGGGATTCTAGGAGAGTGCTCAATAAGGGTTTTATTACCTGGGTAAGTTCAGAATTTTAAAAGTTGTATGTATGTAGTTGTATGTAATAATAAATCCATTTACTATGGCTCATAAATCATTCATGAAGCAGACTTTGGGGAAACCGAAGTAAATATCACAATTTTCTTCCTGGGACTATGAGTCTGATTCAGGGACATAAGGTCTCAGAACTGAATTTTTGTTGTAAAATCCAATTCACATTTCCTCTTCAGTAAGATTAACATGGTTAGAAATGCATATGAAATATACAAAATACATTTCCTAAGTCATTTTATGTTTCTAAACACAGAAGTCCAACAATTTTCAGCATCTAAATCCTTAAACTTTTTTCTTTTGCCAAGTAAATCACATTAGAGCCAGCAAGACACTGAGTGTGTGGGAAAACAAACCCACTAAACAGAACCCCCAGGGTATGATATTCTACACCTGCTGTATAGTGCCTGTAGCCATTGGTGTCTGCAGACAGATCTGTAGTCCCCATGCACAGTCCTTGGCTATTGTGGGCCACTCACTGGCAGAAGGGGAAGAGGAAGGACCATTGCTGGTGTTTCATCAGCAGCGCTGTCCCTTACCCTGCAGATGTACTGGCTCCGCTCGCCTGGGGAGAAGGTTTGTGAGCGCACTATCACGCTGTTTCTCACGAAGGGATGCTCTCGAGAGCTCAGGCTGCTACGGTCTTTGGGGCGAACTGCCATATTGCCATCAACGGTTTCATCAGTATTCGTCTCCTTATCAACCTACAATGAAAGTCGGTGAATCACCAGGGGCTGGCAAGTGGGTGTCCCTGGGTGTGCCGTTCTTCTAGGGCAGTGGATCTCAACCTTCCTAATGCTGCCATCCTTCAACACAGTTCCTCAGGTTGCGGTGACCACCAACCATAAAATTATTTCATCGCTACTTCATAACTATAATTCTGCTACTGTTAGGAATCATAATGTAAATCTGTGATATCTGCAGGCTATCCTTGGGACATGACCCATAGGTTGAGAGCCACTGTTCTAGGGAGTGAGGAAATAGTTAAAGCTAAGCAGACTCCTCCAGCACTGTGAGCAAGGCTTACCCTTGCTCCATGTTTCGGGAAGGAGAGATGGGAAGGAGGCTTTCTACTTGGAAATGCATCATCTTTGAACACTAGTGTTCTTCGTCAGAACAAGGTATAATGACAAAAAAAGTGGTTAAAAATTCAATATAGCAGCTTGAAAGATGGCTCTGCAGTTAAGAGCACTGACTGCTCTTGCAGGGTGTCCCAGGTTCAATTTCCAACACCCACATGGCAGCCCACAGCTACCTAGTTCCAGGGTATCTAACACCCTCTTCTGGCCTTTGCGGGAACTGCATGCACATGGTGCACAGACAGATGCAAGCAATATACCCATAAACGTAATAGAATTAAATAAAAGATAGATGAAAACAAACGATAACATAAAATTGTAGATGAGTGGAATTTGCAGTCATACTAAATGAACACAATGACTTTCGTGAAGCTGACCACGAAGTTTCACTGGCTCTTCGGAAATTCAACAAAAACATAAAGTCAGCTACCCTGGCACTCTGTACTTGAATAGCTGGTAGCCAGAACTGTGGAGTCTGCACACTCCCCTCTCCTTAAATATGCTTCTATGGTGCAGAGACCCTGGTGGTGTGAGTGCTCACCATCCAATCCAAGGCAATGGTGCTAACCAATCACAGTCATGAGGCAGATGCTGTGCCCTGAAACCATCTTTAGAGTGATTTATCTCCACGCCCTTTACTGACCCACAGGCACTGCAGTCTTGTTGAAAGATGCCCCGGTAATGACAGCATTTGATATGTTTCTTACCCAAGGGGTCAAATTGCATGTTTCATAAACATGGGTCTCTCTGGTAGGTGTGGCTCTTTTAAGAGGCCCTGTTGTGTACCTGAGCAGCTGAGCAGCTGGCACCAGGTACAGACAGATATAACATTCCCAGAACTGGGGCAGGTAAATATGACTGTGGACCTGTACCCGAGGCTTGAGGCTAGGTTCTAACAGAATCAGGGGTGGGTGGGGTTGGCGGGGGCAGCCATATGCTAAGCAGAGCCAAACAGTTTAAGATTTGGCTCAAGAAGTCAGAGGAGGCTGCAGTCACACAAAAATCATGTCCAGACCAAGAAAACCTCAAAACAGATACAATATATTTAAGAAGGATTAAGTGCTTGAAAGAGAAATAAAGAAAAAAAGGAAGGAAGGAAGGAAGGAAGGAAGGAAGGAGAAAATGGGAATCTGGATCCTGTATGGTGCTGTTGTTGACTTTGAATTTTTTGAATGCTGATGGGTAAAAGGCAGCTTCTGAGAAACACTGAATTATGGAAGGGAATCCTGAATTAAACCAGCCTGTATATTTTAGAAATGTCAAAATTTTGGTTTCAAAATGGAATTTTGGAAAGTGCTGCACTGAGGTACAGATTATGCCTTTGTTTCCACAGGAAACAAAAAATTATGGTTTCTCTTCAAAATTAATGAAGGTCAGATTTGATTGGGGGAGGCCTCCTGAAAAATCTTGGTTACAGACATGAAAGACTACAGGACAGGTGACATACAAGAGCCCCTCTACTATGGGAATAGCTTTGAGCCTGGATGAGACATGATAAATCTTGTTGGCTACAGAGTCCTCATGACTTATTATTACATGCCATCCTTTTATATGGCATGGTTATACAGTTCCAAACAGACTTATAAAGAAAGTCGACAGATGCTTTTTTACCTGCTCAAACATAAACATAAGGCAAACAAACAAAAATCTTTAGCTGACTTGTGTACACCACACATTCCATACTTGTGTTAATACAGACATATATGTTACCTTTAAAAGTTTGTATGTTTTCAGAAAAAAAAAAAAAAAAAGAGAACCAAACACTAGTGAAGACAAGGAGCCCGGGTGATCCAGCATCAAAATGCCTTTGTTGCAGTTTCCTCAAAATTCTGCATTCAGAATAACTTCAAAGTTGCTAACTGAGGTTGTCCAGCCTCATAGATTACTCCAGCTAGAACTTCAGATAAGCCCCGTGCTTTCCCATTACACAGAACATGGACAACAAATGATAGAGCTAGCTCTCCCAGGACTTGACCATCATCTCATTTTTCTCAGGCCATTCAATGGATTATGGATGTTTATCATCATTTGTGTGTGTGTGTGTGTGTGTGTGTTGGGGGGGGTTGATTAAAAGTTGTTGGTCATGGTCAGGAAAAAAGTTAAACAAAGGAGATTAGATTCAAGGACCTCTTTATGAAAGGAAGGGGGCTGTATAGTATAGAAAGATAGGATAAAAGGTGGATTGTTGAGTCAATTTTTGAACAACCACTAGTCTCAAATATTTTACATTGGTATGGATTTTTATAGATACAAATCTAAGGCTATTTTTATTATGCATATATTGCATATATATTTTGTATATATGTTTCTACTCTTGTTGAAAGTATTGCGCCTATGTAGCTCATTTAAAGGTGCAGCATAAAGTTCAATTCATTAAGAGCTTTTATTATAAAACATTTAGGATAATTGGGAAAAGCAGGTAGTTAGTCATCTCTATAACAATCAAACTTGTAGTCATGTTAGGTATGTCTTCATGGTAATAGAGAAAAATATTTTAGATAGAGAGAGGGACTTCAAACACTTCAAAGACCTACATAATATGGGATTTAACATGTTTTAATAACATAAGGATTTTTCATAACAGTGAGACACATGTGCTCCTGCCAGTGCCAATTTACTCCAAAAAAAGGGTAATGGGCATCAAAGACCCTCCACGTGGAGTTTGCTTTCACTATGACAAAGCTAGCTACATGGGCAAGAAACTGCCCTTGCCTAGACTGCTGACAATATACTGTCCAAAATGGACAAGCAGGACACAAAAGAAAGCTATTGCTGAATTTTGCCAAGACCAAGTAGGACAGTCCTTCAAAATTCCTGCTTCACAGAAAAGTCTGTCAGAATTCTAGGTCTATAGGCTGAAGATGGATGCCCCAACATTGCCCAGGAACCTTGGGTGACTGTCCAGGCAGCAAGATTCTTCTGTTGTTTTTATAGTTTTGGAAGTTATTTACTTCCTGTTTACTCGGGTACTGTTATATTCTTCTTGGGTCTCTGATGGAGTTGAAGACTACATAGTTTCCTTGTTACCAAATTCAGAAAAGAAACTCACATAAGTGGAGTAAATTGTTTATCTACAAAAATGTTTTGAAGTCTAAAAAGATAGTTCTAGGATGGAAATACAAGTCATAATTTTAAAAAATGGCTTAGGTATGAAACTTTAAATTCATCAAGATAAGATAGATAATTTGCCAAATACAAATTGGACATTGTGAATGTAATTGTTAACTGATAATTGTTCTTATTGTATATAGTTTTATTATGCTAGTTACTATATAGTTTACTATGCTGTTTCTTTTTAATTAGACAAAAAGGGGGAAATGTTGTGGGAGATTTGTCCATGGTGTGAAAATGTATGGCTGTGACTGGTGTACTTAAAAAGCTGAACAGCCAATAGCTAGGCAGGAAGAGGTTAGCAGGACTTCTGGAGACAGAGAGGACTCTGGGAAGAAGAAAGGGGGAGAAATCAGCCAGATGCAGAACCAATTAGACACACAGAATAGGAGAGAGGTAAAAATCCACAAGGTAGAATGTAGATTAATAAAAATATGGGTTAATTTAAGTTATAAGACCTAGTTAGGGACAAGTCTAGGCTGTAGGCTGAGCTTTCATAATTAACAAGAAGTCTCCATGTCATTAGTTAGGGACTGGCTGTCAGTGCAGAGAAGGACTGGTTTCACCTGTGCCTAACCAAGTCCGAGTTATCTTTCAGAGCAGGTTTCAGCTCAAACTCCAGAAGCCAAGATGAACTTCAAATTCTTATTTCATGTTTAACATTGAAATAGATTTTGAAACTTGATACATTGAGTAATCCCCACCCTCTGATTTCTCTAAAATAGAAAAATACTTCCTTGACAGTTTGGTCGTGGAGTCCAGGCTGGCCTGACACTTGTGACCCTCCAGCATCAGCCTCTTGAGGGTTGGGATTACAGGGATCACCACACCAGGGTCAGAAAGTACTTGTTTTGTTATTTGTTTTGAGACAGAGCCTTGCACATCTCAGGTTGGCCCTGAACTCCCTATACACCTGATGTTCCTTCTGCTTATACATCCTGAGAACCAGGGGTAAAACTGTGCTGGGGATCGAATCCAGGGCTGTGAGCATTGGAGCAATGTAGCTCCATCTCCAGCCTCAGACAACACTTAACAAGCATGCACAGAACATTTATAGAGATATAAAGTAGTGAACATTGTCTCTGCCACATATAAAGGAAAAATTAATATTCTGAGCATTGTGAAAACTGTAGAGCATTCTCCATGCTCTTGGTGATATTCCCATGAAAGCCTTTCACAGCCAGTTTGGGGGCCCAAATCCTGGTTTAGAATGTTCTCAAGAGAAGACAAGCACCCCTTGAGTATGTGGCGTCTACAGAGTTTTGTTTGAGAGGAGTGTAGCAGAGCATTTACCAGGGTGGGAATTCCAGTTGGTGGCTGATGAGGGTCTTCAGCATGCTGGCTTTCGATCCTACGCTGGTCTTCACTCATTTCAGGCACGCTAGTGCATGAACTCGGGTCTCCTGGGCAGCAACTGCCCTCCACCAATTGAACACCAGCCACAATTTCATCAGAGGCTTCTCTTAGCTTCGTTAAGCTGTGGTGAAACAAAACAAAACAAAACAAAAATCAAAAGCCATTTTTGGTCTGGCAGGGATACTCCATGCCATGTGACTAGGCATGTCAATCCCTTACCTGAGAAGTAACAGATTCATACATGTGATCCAAGACCTACTGTGACAGCTGCAAATTCTTAACTAAGCAGATCAAGAAAAATAAATTCTCATTGTATGTTTCAGGAGTCCAGAGCAAAATCACAGTGTGGTACAATAATGCTAGTTTTAATGCTAATGTTAAGTTAAAAGTTATGAAATTTGATCAAATCTCTAGATTTTTCAATAGAGATATTCAAGGACCACATACAGATTTTGATTTCAGCATGTAGAAACATGACATTCACTAACCTGGAATTATTCAGTTGATTATAGAATTAGTCATATAATAGTTGGCTATTCTTAGCAAAGACATGAGGGCTGCCCATTATTAACTACTCATCATCAGGCAGGCACAGATGTCTAAAGGGTTTGTCACTGGGCTATCAGGTGACTCTCTGCCTCACATGCTCATTAATAAAGGCTGTGGCAGGGATTTAAACAGTGACAAGAATAGGTGACCACATGACTGGAGAGATGGCTCAGCAGTTAAAAGCATCAGCAGCTCTTTCGGAGGACCCAGGAGGTTTGGTTCTCAGCCCCTGGGTATTGACTGACTCACAACCCTCTGTAAACTCCAGATCCAGATCGCAGATGCCCTCTTCTGGCCTTTGAGGGCACTGCATGCATTGGCACACAAGTGTACGCAGACAAAACAGCCATATGCATAAAATAAAAATAAATTTAGAATTCAGAAAATATTTTAAAAGAATACTACTAGAGTTTATACAGAATGTACACAGTAGGGGTATTGTGAAAGTACATGGCAGGCTTTGCTGAATTTCATGTCCTAAGAATAGAAAGAAGCCTCTTCACTGACTTCTGAATATCAAGCCTTAATTGCAATTGGTGACATATTGGCAGATTGACACAGACTAGTTATTACATGTCTAGCCAAGAAATGAGCATGAAGGAGAACCAGCGATGACTACAGTGAACTAAAACCTACTAAGTATATTCCTGGAAATGTGAGACAAACTGTGTTTTACAAGCTTAGAGCTAAGATACGATGTAAGTCTTTACATCCCTCTCCGTCCCGGTGCAGACGTTATCCACTAAGTGTAGCTATGCCTTTTTATATCACCACTGGAGCCCTTCCTTCTAATGCCCTTGACAGTAACATTTGTGACATCCATCACTCAGAATTTCTATAGCATGTTTTATCTTTGCATGCATACATACACACAAGTGCAGGCCATACATGCTAACAGAAGTCCAACCACACATAACAGTACAACAGCGGTACATTAAAATAGATTCAAGTGTGTTTTTATGTGGAAGATACTCAGAATGGAAACATCCACTACAATATGTTTTTAAAGAATATAGTGAAAACCTGGGAAGACAGCCTTCACATGCAGAGACATATAGATACACAGTATGTGCATCCTTAAGGGATGGGTTACTGATACGGAAGAGGAGACTAAAAGGACGAGGGGAAGGACCAATACTTCAATGGCTACTTGGATGCTCTTTTTTTAAATAGCAATTCTGTTTAAGAATGCTAAATGGCACTCCTGGTCAAAAGAGAAAGAAAAGGGAGGCGGGGGAAGACAGCCACTTATACTTATCTATGACTCTTTACAGTGGTTCTCAACCGTCCTAACCCTGTGACCCTTTAATATAATTCCTCATGCTGCGGTGACCCCAACCATAAAGTTATTTTGTTGCTACTGTGTAATTGTAATTGTACTATTATAAGTCCTAATGTAAATATCTGATATGCAGCATATCTGATATGTGACCCCTGTAAAAGGGTTGTTCAACCCCCAAAGGGATCCCAACCCACAGACTGACAACCATGGATCTATATATAATAAGGCATCATTGCTTTCTAAATGGATAGCTTAGGCAAAAAGCAAAAGCATAGAAAATTAGTAAACATCATTACTGGAAGCAAGAATAAAAAGCACAGTCACTGTGTTGACTTTTCCACAACCTGGCCATTTCTTCCTCTAATGTTCTAATGACCAGGGGGACGCGCACGCGCGCAGACAGACAGACAGACAGACAGACACACACACACACACACACACACACACACACACAACACTACAGCCAGCACTCCCTGATGTCATAGTGTGTGCCATAGTTCCAACCTAAGATGAGCCTATAAAGGCCCAGAAGCCTCTTCTGAGAAACCAAGCAAGCCACAGTCCACCTGAGAAAGGTAATGGGTGTTTACCAATCTCCCCCGGGACCCTGCTGTTCTTCTGGCCTCAGGTCCTCCTCCTCCTCCTGGGCTAGTTCTTGTTCCACAGCCAATAGCTCAGCTGAAGTTCTTGCAAGCAGGGCTGACACGGCATCCTGCAGAACAGAAACCATATGGCAGTTAACACCAGACACTCCAGCTATGATTCAGAAACTCCTCGGATGCACACTTACACTTCCAGCTGCGAAGAAACAGCCTGTACCAGACCCAGTTCCCCTGCTGAGAACAAATATGAAAGCTGAACAAAATGAAACCAAAACCAAATACAAACTCCCAGATGTTCTAAAGCAAGAAGACTGATGGGGCTTGCAGGGCTGGAGGGCTGATGTCCCGGGGAAAGCAAAGATACAAGAGAGATGACCATCACTGCCAGTGGCTTCCTCTAAAGGCATTTGTCAACCTAGGCACGAGGCCCGCAGGCTAAACAGATGGGCTGCTTGTAATCTCAGCCCCACAGTCCACTGCCCGGAGTGCAGAGCTACCAAGGCGGTCCACACAAAAGGGGTTTGAGGAAATGAATGGTGAAATGGGCCCTACATCACACAGGATGTTTCTAGCCAGGCCTTCGCCTTTCCTGATTTGCCTCTGTACAGCACAAGACAGAGAAGTAAAGCCAAAACCCAGCTGCTAGCAGCCTAAACAGTAAGCAGGTATTTCATGCCTTGCAGGGTTCTGGAGAGAGAAAACTTGAAATTCAAAACCCCCAGGTGCTGCAGGCAACTTTCCCGTGTTGTCATCTGCCTTCCAGAAGAACATCAACTCATCTCTAGAAGAGTATTTCAGCTTTTACAACCCCTCTTTCAATATAGCCAGCTAAAAGTTAATGGCGACAAGCCAAAAGAAACAACAGGCAACAGAGGCAGACCCACAAGTGATTCATACACTGCAGCTTTTCAGAGATAGCAATTAAGCTTTTACAACTCCTATAAAGAAAAACTGATGAAATTACAGATTGGTCTAGCATGAACACAAAGAAGTGCATCACTGAATTGCAAGAAAGCTGCTGTGAGTTAAGGAAGAGGGACCCTTGCCAGCAGTGGAAGGAGAAAGGGTGTGTGAATCCTTACATCGTAGCCTGGGTCAGTGGCCAGATGACAGATTATAAGGTCATGTCTATGAGATCAGGAGAGCAGATGGGAGCAAAGTCATGATAAACAGCCACCAATGAGCTAGGGAGAGGTCGGCTGGTGACCCAATCACACCAAGGTGCTTGTATGCATTCAGTCCCATCAAGGGAAGAGTGTTTGAGGACTCTGGGTATTTAACACCCCGAGAACTGGAGTGACAGAAAACTGGAGGGGGGGGGCAGTCTGCATCGCTGGTAACTGAAACCAGAGGCCGACCTGAGCTGAGCCCACTGTGAGGAAAAGTGGAGCATGGCATCTTACGGGAGTTTGAGGTGGAGAGATGAGCGAGTTTTATGAGTTTTCTGCCAGTCTGGTCCCAGAACTACTTCAGACCCAAATAATACACAGAGACAGTGTATTAATTATGAATCTGTTGACCTGTTACTAGCGCTTCTTACTGGCTAGCTCTGTCTTAAATATTAATCCATTTCTATTAATCTAAGTGTTTCCACGTGGTCTTATGTTACTGGAGAGAGGATCCGGACCTCTTAAGTCCCTATATCTTGACTCTTCTTTACTACATCTCCCAGAATTCTCCTTGTCACCTAGTCCCACCCATCTTGCTTTCCTATTGGCCAACAGGGCTTTATTCATTAACCAACAAGAGAATCATATTTACAGAATGACATCTCCCATCAAGCGAGGCTCACCATCCCTCAAGCTGGGAAGATCAAGGATCTGTGTCACAGAAGAGCAGGAGCCCGAGGGTCAGCACAGGCTGTGGGGACCCAGTTCGGTAAAGGAGTCTGAGGCCGAGAGAGTCTTGACACTCTCCACTCTCCGCTCTCTGATACCATGGCCACTGCCAGGACAAGCTTATGGGGACGCTCAGATCAGGGCCACAGGAAGTTAGTGGCAGAACTTGATGTAGCATCCTGATGGATGGGACAAAAGTAAACACAGGTAGGTGGGCTCTGTATACCCCTGGAGCCTGAGCATGGGATTTGCACACCAACAGAGGCCCCAAACACCAGAGATAGGAAATCATGCTGGGGGACCCTCAGAAGGACACAGTAGCTTAACTTAGCTAAACTGCTGGGACTAGCAGCCCTCCTTTCGAAAACCTGGAGCCTGATTAGAAAAACAAACAAAGAAAGGTGGATGTGGGGTGTGGGGGGGAGAAAACCCACACTTCTCCAACCAGGAAACACACAAAGAGCATAGTACTTTCTAGTTCACTTTACTGCCTTTCTATAATTTTTTTTTTTCCAAGGAGCCCACATGGAGTTTATTGGTGGAGGAAATAAAGGGGTGGGGAGGTCATGTGTTGGCCAACTGGGAGCAGAGCAGAGAAGAGCAGAAAGAGAGCAAAGAGCAAACAGCCTGCCTTTTTATTTTAAAGATAGCGGTCCTTCCGGGACAGCTCGGGCTGTTACAATGCTGAGTGCAGCATCAATAATCAAGATCAAGCAAGAACTCATTTCAGGGATGGATGATGAGGTCAAGGCAGTACCTACAGACACATATGAAGAAAACCCTTTAATGACTGTGACCCAAACTCCCAAGAACACTGGAATATGTTCAAGAGACCAAACCACCACACAAGGAGCTGAGATAACCTCTAAAGCCTTTGACAATCTATTCAGTGAGATGAGAGCTACAATCCAAACACAAGCTTTTAGAGCTGCAAACAGACATGGTCAGAGAAGAAAGATCCTCCTTAAATCAGGGTACCAAAAGTACAAGGAAGAGGCTGAGGAAATGCTTAGTGAGGGAAGTGGTCGCCTTGCTTGCATGAGGGCCTGAGTTTGATTCTCTGATCCCATGTAAAAAAAAAAGCTGGGCATGTCAGCATGCATCTGTAATACAGGCCTGGGGAGCTGTGAATGCATGGATAACTGGGACTTGCTGGCTAGCCAGCCTGGCCACTAAGGCAAGGTCCAGGCCAGTGAGGGCCTGTCTCAAAAACAAAGTGAGAAATGCATTAAGTATGAGAGCAGAAGCTGTCCTCTGGCTTGCATATGTATGCTCGCACGAGTATACACGAAAGCATGTGTGTTTGCACGCATCTGTGTGCACACACATGCGCACACACATACACACAAACATATCCATATACAATATGCACGTACACCAAGGGAAAAACACCTAATGACACACGGCAAAGTAGCCACTAAAAGCTGGAAGGGAAAATGCAAAGGCATAAACATGAGACTTTTCACGAGTGTCCTACAACCACGAGAACACAGAATGATACAAACACTGAAAGTAAGTAATGGTCCCCAAGATTGTTACAATCAGCACAGCCACTGCTTAGAACTTGTGGGGAAATAAGACACACAGTAAAGCATTCCTGACAACTAAGCCACCATGGCTGGGAATTCACAGAGGAAGAGGACAGCCTCATCCCTTCATCTAATTATATCAACTCTAAAGCGCAAGAGTAGCAGTGATGCTGGCACTGTGGGCCATTATGGGATGTTTTGATCATATTCTGACACTCCTGAGACTGACAATAAAGTTTGCTTTGAATCAGAGGGCAGAACTAGCTACTAGCTAACCAAAATTAGCCATAGGGTTTTGGAGGACTGAGAACATATAGAGAGACATAGGAAGTAGTAGGGAGGGGCTTAGAGAGAATTTTAGAGTTTTTGGATCAAGAAGGGAAGAGAGAGAGAGAGAGAGAGAGAGAGAGAGAGAGAGAGGGAGGGAGAGGAAGGAGGAATCATCGGTCACTTTTCTGCTGCTTATCTCATCATTCATAGACTCCCAAGTTTTTACTGATAAAGAATAATTAGATAAACACTTCAATGGGCCTTCAAGGAAAAGCTGTAAAGTGCTCAATTCCCCAAAGCACTCAACAAGGAAAAACACATCATGTGCAGAGTTGCAAATATCTCTGGAGAAAGTGCATCTTTTGTGAAATTGTGAAGAAGAAGAAGAAGGAGAAGGAGAAGGAGAAGGAGAAGGAGAAGGAGAAGGAGAAGGAGAAGGAGAAGGAGAAGAAGAAGAAGAAGAAGAAGAAGAAGAAGAAGAAGAAGAAGAAGAAGAAGAAGAAGAAGAAAAAACACATATGCTGATTTTGCTGTCACATTTTGAACTGCAAAAAAATTACAGCCACAGTGTCTGGAAATGGAAGGCAGGGAAGCCTTGTAGCTGTATGGGAATACACACACAGTGCACAGGGCACTCGGAGGGGTTGGTGCTGTCTGTAGTGCAACACATCCACTAGTGGGTCTGGGAACACATCTGCCAAATACGGGATGGCGGGCGGGGAGCTGTATTACTGGTGATGGGATGGGAAGGAAAAGTAAATTTAAAAACTTGAATTAACTCAAAAGAATTAGGGGCTTGGGGGGGGGGGGGACAAAGATGAGGCTAATAATAGCCACAACAACAAACTATAAAGCAAATTCAAGTATGTGAATAGATTACTGCACCAACCATTTCAATTAAAAAATAAAGATACTGGCCGGGCAATAAACCAACACCAACTATATGCTGTTTTCAAATATAGCATCTTAAATAATAAAAAGCTTGAAAGGAAAACAATGGAAAAATAATAAACCATGTAGATGTACATTAAAAAAAAAGACATACACAGCTTTGCCACTATCAGACAAAGTAGACTTTAAAACACAAGGTGTTATTGGAGGTAGAGATAGTTCATCATAACAAAAGGCCAGCTAGGCACAAAGATACAATTTAAGGCTAAATTTATATTCACCTATTAACACAGACATGAAAAAAACTTTGGAACTAAGAAGGCAAAATATAATTAGTGCTATCATGGGTTAATGACATATAATATCCCTGTCAGTAAACAATAAAGTGGCAAATCAAAAAACCACTACAGGTAAGAAACTCTAAAAACAAAATTAACAACCTGACAGCAAAACAAACATTCTCAGCAAAGAAATGTAATGTTTATCCCAAACATACCACACCCTACACCAAAAAGCAAGCATGGCCAAATGGTACATGTTTGATTCTCTGAAGACAGTAAAATAAAACTAGAAACCAGCAACAGAGTAAAACTCTCCAGCCACCTAGTCATTCATAAATATCCTTTAAAATTTTATAATTAATAAAGAAGTCACAATGGAGATTGCAAAGTGTTTTAAATTCATGACAATTCTGTCACACCACACTTGTAAAAAAACATTTCCAGCCCCAAATGCAATGCAACAAAGCAGCTATCTAAGCATCCGTCTCAAGAAGAAAATGAGTCCCAGATTAAACCCCAAGTGGTGGGTTTGAAGAAATAATAAGGTGACAGTGGCAATGAGAACAGTAAACACACACACACACACACACACACACACACACAATATTGAAGATCAGAAGATCAAAATTATATTCAAAATTTATAAATTGACAAGTCTCTGGTAAGAGAGCTTAAAAAGGCCGCAGACTGCCAATATCAGGGATAAAAAAACGTCCTTGCGGGTATGGAAGGACAATAAGGTTCTATGACTGACTCATGCTGGGTAGGGCTGTTAGTCCCAGAGAGCAGCAGGGGGCTTGGCAAGCATGCATGTGGCCCTGGGTTTGTCTCCAGAATTGCCACAATAATAATGATGATGATAAAAATAGATTAAATAGACAAATTCGGTGAAAAGCAAAACCTACAGCAAGTAGAGAAAAACCAGACCAGCCTTGTGCTAGTAAAGAAACTGACCCTTTAATTTACAAATAGCCTTTGCAACTGGGATCCAAGCCCAAAGCCTCAGTGTCCTTCAGGTTAACTCAAAACAGGGCATGTAGATTCTGGGGCAATTCTATAAGCTGTCACCTGACTTTTATGAAGGGCTACTTCTCTTGCAGAGCCCTGGTTACGTCACTGATACATTTTTAAAATTGGCATGATGTACTTCATTATTCTTTCACATGTACAAGGGCTTCCTCATTTTTCTTATTCTTGAAATCAGTAATTTGTGCATTCTTACCCGGGTATTTGTCAAATTTTACATTTTTATTGAAATATCTAATTACAGCTGTTTCTGCAGTCAGTAGAAAACAACTATTTCCCAAAACACAATGAAGCCTGCAAAACCTAAATGCCAAAGTGATGATAACATCACAAGGAAAAAACTAATCTCAGCCGGGTGATGATGATACACACCTTTAATCCCAGCACTCAGGAGGCACAGACAGGCAGATCTCTGTGAGTTCAAAGCCAGTCTCATCTACACAGCAAGTTCCAGGACACCCAAGGAGACACAGAGAAATACTGTCTTGAAAAACACCAAAACAAAAAACCCAAAACAAACAAAAATCCTCACATCCTGGAGGCAAACAGTCCTTAAAAGGAAAGTACGGGTGGAGCATAAAGGGAAAAACTGACAAGCAAAGTCTCATTAAAACTGTTCCCCTCACCCAAAGATGACATTATGAAAAAAAAAAAAAAAAAAACAGAAAAGGTAAGTCACAGAAAGTAACAGACACCTGTTATATATTTATTTTTAAAATATTCATTTCCAAACACACAGATTTCGATCAAACTACAAGAACAAATAAAAGGAATTAAAAACTAGAATATACACTTTACAAAAGACAACACCCATTTGGTGGTATGCATGTTATAATCAAGGAAGTGAAAATTAAAAATCTAAGCACACAGCAAAACAGTGGAAGTGAGAAGACACAAGTAGTTTTATCAACTATATGTGCAGATTAATAGCAGTGCTACAATAGGCCCCAAATTAGTAACAATGCAGATGTTCAGCAGCAATAGAACAGATGCATTGAGATACAATTATATGATAAAATATTGTCTAACAATGACAGTGAATGAGCCGTAATACAGAGTAACAAGTGAATTTCACAAGATGCCAGACATAAGGAGCAGACTTCAAACATCAACTTCAAAGTTATGTGAGACAGACACAAGGGATGGGGGAAGTGACCTTTAGGAGAGTGTGGTGACAGCAGGGAAGGGACACAAGGAAAGATTGTGAGGCGATGGCAACCCACTGGATGTGGGTCACAGTTACATAGGCGCCATTGCTTTGCAATAAATTCAGACTGGGTAAGATTTGTGCACTTTGTTATAAATCCCTCCATTGCCCTTTCCCACAAATAAACCAGAGATAGAAATTAGAAGAAGAAAAAAAAAAGTGCAATAAAATTTGTGTAGCAGCGCTATAAACCAGACAGAACTAACAAACATCTGTAGAACACTCTGAACAAGTATTTTTCTCTCAAGTGGACATACTTTGGAATATACTAGACCACAAATATGGCTTCGGTAAATTCATGCATGCTAAGTGTGGCTTTTTGGTCAGACTGGGATGAAATTGAAAACTAGCAACAGAAGGGAATATGAGAAATAAAGAAATATGCAGAAATTAACCTTCCTAAACAAGCAAAGTTTAAGGAGATCACATGGCAGTTGAGAAAACATAGAGAGAGATGTCTGGGATGTTTAAGCAGAGCTGTCAGGATTACCTTACAAAAGGAAGGCATCAACCAGGAGCCTAACTTTCCGCCTTTAAGAATGAAGGGCAACATAATCCTAGAGCAAGAAGCCTAGAGCAAGCAGAAGAAAGGGGATAGCACACTAGGAGTAAATTCATGGCAAGTAAAATCCAAGTTGGTTCTTCAGAAATACGCAAACCTGTAGTTGGCCCGATGATGAAAAATATTGAGGTCTGAAGTCTCTCCAACGCTGAGTTTCTAAATGAACATGGTGGAGTCAGGTTATGTGCCTAGCTTCTAATAACTGAACCTCTCCACAACTTTTCATATATGAACTCAATCATGAGAAAACATGAACCGTTATACATGAACCAATCAATATGACCTCTCATGAAATGATTATGTTCCTAAAAAGACATAGGTACCAAAACAAGCAAACAAACAAAAAAGCATTAAAAAAAAAATACTCAGGTATCTAGGTTAAAAAAAGTCTTCCTCAATGTCTGAATGTCTGAAAACCATCATTTTATGGTGAAAAGTTCCCTCTAAAATTAGGAGCAAGGGGGGCTGGAGCCATGCTCAGTGGCTGAGAGCTTGCTGCTCTTCCAGAGAGGGTGAACCTGAGTCAAATCCCTAGCATGCTCACCACTGCAGGGGATCTGATGTCTTCTGGTCTCCACAGGTACCATGCACTCATGAGTGCATGATGTTGGTGGACAGACACACACACACATTTAAAAATCTGTAAGAAGATAGAGATGTCTGCTTTTACCTCCCTTGTGTGTGTGTGCATTTTCCCCCCGTGTGCGAGTGCTCATGGAGTTAAAGGACAGCCCTGGCTGTCATTCCTTACAGGACCTCGGTGGGGTTAGCTTTGTTTTGAGACAAAGTCTCTTCTTGGCCTGTGGCTTGCCAAGTAGTTAAGGCTGGCTGGACAGGGAACCCCAGGGATCTGCTTGTCTCTGTCTCTATTGGAACTACAGGTTACTATTTCCTTTTGGTCACATGGATTTCTTGCCCGTGTGCCTTGGCCACAACATATTGCACAATACTGAAGGGGGTGGCAAGAGGGCTGGGAAGCCAGCTCTGTTGGGCAAGTGTTGTGTTGAGAGCATGAAGATCCAAGCTTGCATAGCATTCTCTTGGAATCCCAACAGTGGGAAGCTCTGGGAAAAGCAACTACACATCCACACACAAAAGAATGAACTGGACACCCCCCCCCCCCAGGCACAGGCCTTGTAAATAACCCAAATGGTTTTATTAACCATTGCTTTAGCATTGGTTAATAAAGTCTAGATATAAGTCTAGATATAAGACTAAGATTCATAAGGACTACCTTGGGGGAATCTCTATGTGACTAAGCTAGTCTTAGATAAGACATCAACAGAACAAAAGAAGCCAAGGCGAGGATGGGAGGGAGACAAGGTGCATTTGCATCTAAGCTATAAACCTCCGTGCTGCTAACAAGACAATGAAAAGACACCTTGCAAAATGGGGAGGGGGGGGGGAACAACTCTGCAGATAAAATCTGAGTATGGTGGCACACACTTATAATCTCAGCACCCAGAAAACCTGAGGCAGGAGGATTGCAAAGTTAGAGGCTAGCCTGTTCTGTATAACATGCTGTAGGCCAGCCTGGGCTTCATAGTAAGGCTCTGACACTTCCTCCCTGCCTGTCTCCTTTCCTCCCTCCTTCTGTCCCTCCCTTCCTCTCCCCTTCTCCCCCCCACACACTTTTTTATGTCAATAATAAAAAGGCAGCTACTCTATATAACAGGAAGTCAGGTTGCAATACTTCAAATCATTAAGCATAATTACTATGCATCCTGGTGAGTACAGTCACACAAGTACCAGGGCACAAGTTTTCACACTGGCATCATTCACAGTAGTCAAAAGGTAGAGACCATTGAGATGCATATGAGCGGAGGAGTGCAAAGCCAACAGTGGGACATCTGCACTAGAACACTCTCTGGAAGAAGGAAGGAAGGAAACACTAGCTGTGCCCATAGAAGACCTTGATACTACCATGCTGAGTGAAAGAAATGAGTGGACGCAGAGCAAACCTTGCACACTTTCCTTTATATGAAAGCATATGATAAGCAGAATAAGCAAACTTACAGAGCAGGGAAGAGGTGACAGTGATTGGTCACAGGTATAAGGGCTTCTCCTACTCTACTCAAGCCTCCAGCCAGGGGTGGTGGCTCATACCTTTAATCCCAGCACATACGAGGCAGAGGCAGGTGGAGCTCTGTAAATTCAAGGCCAGCCTGGTTTACAGAGTGAGTTCCAGGACAGCCAAGGCTGTTATATAGTGAAACCCTGTCTCGAAAAACAAAATACAAAGCATTAAAAAATCATTTTTATGGGAGGTGGCATGATGCCTTCGTAACTTCTACTAGAATCTAAGCTGGAAATGATTTTTCTTGGGATGCTGGGAACAAAGAGGGGCTGAGAGAGGAGGAGGAAAAACTCATGAATGACAGCAGGGCCTGCTGTCTTCTGCAATTTGTCGCCCACATTGCATGACTGCCTCTCAGCCACTCTTTTCCAGTTGTGACTCACCAAGTCTATAGAATCTAGTTCTGGCTCGTTGGATTGAACTACAGGCTCCTCGCTTTCTTCTTCATTCTTTTTGCAAGGCGTTTGCTTGGAAGGAAGTAAATTATACCACAGCATGAAAATCTCATTGGAAAATGGTAAATCTGCCAGGCTGATCTGAGTCCCAGCCTACAGGAAATGGAAAAAAAAGAGAGAGAGAGAAATGGAATGTTTAAATTAGCATTCGTCCTCTCTGGTAACACAAAAGATGACTGGGCGAGCTTGTAAAGCAGAACGAACACACTATTGGTGACATAAAGCACTGGCTGTGTGTTTGTGCCTGTGGGCTTGTGCACTGTGTATGTGCTTATGTGCACCTACATGTGCTTGAGTGTGTGTGTGTGCTTTCATGTGTGTACACATGTATGTGCAGTGGTCAGAGGATGACACTGAGATATTTTCCTCAATCTTCTCCACTATTTATTTATTTATTTATTTATTTATTTATTTATTTATTTATTTATTTATTTATGATAGACAGGGTGTCTCACAGAATCTGGAGAAAAGGCCCTATTATCCACTGGCCTCTACCCCGATGCTGTGGTTAAGGCATGCACAACTGAGACCCGCTTTTACTTGGGTGCTGTGATCTGGACCCAGATTTCATGCTGGGGCAGCAAACACTTAATTCAAGGGTTCATCTCCCCTACTCTGAACTGGTGGGGTTTTAAAATCTGGGCATATTGATATCTTCAGTTATAGCTCAGTAAGAAATAATGCACAACTGAAATGCCCATCCTGGGACTACTTTGTAACATTAAATTTTCCTGGGATTACCTTGTAATGTTAAATTTTCCCAACTAACTTCCCCAATGACTAAATGTGCAACTTTTTCTAAATGTGGAATTATATTTAAATGGAATTAAAAAAAATGTCAGAAGAATGACTTGATTATGACAACACATTGTTATGCAGAAAGGAGTTTAAAGATTGATACTCTTGTTCTTGAATGAGAATGTAGCTAGAGGGGTGTGTGTGTGTCCATGGGTCACTAGAAAGCAAAAAAAAAAAAAAAAAAAAAAAAAAAAAGAAAGAAAGACAAACAGATAAAAGTGACTCTGGAGCCCATCTAGCCACAGCCAGGGTTTAACTCCACTGTTTCTGTGAAGCACCGATCGGCACCTTTGGTAATGCTACTGGAACCTTTGACACATAGCAAGCATGGTATCTACTGTACCAACGCCTGTCCTAACAGAGCCATGTTGGTGTCATTCTAGATTTATTTTGAGACAGCATTTTTTTTTTTTAAATAAAGGAAAACTACTGTCCTTTTCTGGCTGGTCATAATTAAATGTCTCCTACAGGATCATAGAGAAACAGCTATTTCTGACCATGTGGGCTCCTGTCTGGATGCCTGCATTTAAGCAGGCCACTTGGAGGGAGACAGCCACCTAACTGTGTTAGTTAAGTATGAAAATTTCCTATCACTCATCACATTTAATCACATTGTTCTAAACAGTAATAACTGTCTAGATGCTCTAACACAATGGAAAGGCAGATGGGCTGAATACAGGAACCATATACTTAGAGCCTTGCTTAATTTCAGTTTGTATCAATGAATGGGATGGGATTTTTTTTTGGTACCAAACTCCATCATCTGCTATGATAACCTACTTTGTGTAGTGGTTTACCCCAAAATGGAAGGAATCAAATTTTCTTTTTAAATATTTATAATGTATACTGTGTATGTTTTGCCTGAATGCCAGAAGAGGGTACCAGATCTCATTACAGATGTTTGTGAGCCACCATGTGGTTGCTGGGAATTGAACTCAGGACCTCTGGAAGGGCAGTCAGTGCTCTTAACCTCTGAGCCATCTCTCCAGCCCAGGGAATCAAGTTTTCTATCATCCAGCTTCCATGGCACTGTTCAGGGTTTAAAGCAGCTGAGTATAGAAAACCCTCCACATACCCATTTAGCACTGGGAACCTCAAAAGTTCTCCCATACTCAAAGAAGAGGACTGGAAAGTCAAGCTTTACAGAACACCATTTATAAGCTGATTTAAAAATCTGGAATGAGAGGGAAAACATTCTAGAAAGACCTCCTGTAAGATGGTGCAGCAGCCACCAAGCCAGGTGACTTGTGTTTTAGCCTCAGAACCTACGTGGTGACAGCAGAGAACTAATTCCCTGAGTCACCTTTTCATCCTCACATGTGTGAGGCACATGAACACACCCACACCCAGATAAACAAACGTTTTAAAACAAAAGCAGGGCTGTTGCTGGCAAAGCAGTAAGAAGAAAACTACTTTTCAGAATAGAGACCACAGTGTTTCTTGGGAGCAATTACAAAGGTGCTTACCAGGCATTCTTCCCTGTGGTGTTTACTGACAGAGCAGAGATCGACTCTCAGGGTCTTCTGCTGCAGGGCTGCCTGAGAAATGGCCACCCTGGACACGTCATTGTACAGCACAGATTCCGAGGGAGGATGGACTTTTGTTCGAAACAGACAGCTAACATCAGCCGAGGAGGGAAGCACAGCAACCCTAAAATACCTGCGAAGAACAAGAACAGAATGAATCTCACAGGGACTTCAATTACAGTGGATCTGCAGCAATCATCTGCAATTAGCTGCAAAAGAGAGAAAATGAGGAAGCTTGGAGCGCATGATCAGAAGGTAGTGCCGCTGAAACAATGGATCCACGAGCAGCTACAGACACCCCATTCTTACCCCACGCGTGCCCATTGGCCCCCTAAACACGAAAAATCCGGGCTGCCCTCATCATTGGACTGCGGCAAAGGCGCAGTCGGGAAGTGATGGGTAAGAGCTGCGGGCTGACCCTCTCTCCCCAGGTACATCAACTCAAAAGTAAATTGTCTCTGAGCCAGGGGAGGCGGGGACACACTAATGTGGGTTTTTCTCTCCAAGAACCTCCATCAACAGCATCAAACAAGAGATTGTTGACGAACAAGCCTACGAACAGAATATATTACCCTACCAGAGACAAAGAAAGGCTAAGGAGCATATTGTTAACAAGATGGAAAACAGATGAAGTGGCAGTTCCAAAATATCATTGTCTAGCATCTCCGGAGGCACAGACGGGACAGCTCGCAGAAGGGTCTCATGCTGTGTAGACGCAAAAGCAAGTGTAAAGCAGCAATGATTCCCAGTGTGCCTCTGCTCCTCAGGGAGTTTATGTGACAGTCTATGAAGACTCCCAGTTTCCCGAAGCAGCCTGAGGCAGAGTCCTCCTAATTCAGAAAGAGCAATCCACTAAATCTCCCCACTTCCCATTCTTGTCTAGTTGAGATTTTAAAATATGCCTTTTTTTTCCTAGTTAGGAAATCTGTAAATTCATGCCCATAACTAAAAATGTCATGTTATTTTTCATTTTATATCAACATTGGTTACAAAGATTCAGCACTAAAGCTCCAGTACTGGCTGATGAAGGGCTCAGCTGCCCCAGAGGACTGTGAGCTCAGGAGAAGAGGGTCTTATTTCCCCTCTGCTTTCACGTCGGCATCGGAAATGGAAGGCAGGGCTGTCTGTTCCTTCAGCCTCTGGGTTTCGGCTATTCTATACCCATGATCTGTTTGGCTCATCTCAAGACGTTTCCACATCAAACAGGGCTGAGCTAATGGGGTACAGAAGTGAAGGCAGGAGCTGGAGAGGTGCCTCAGTGATGAAAGCATTAGCTGCTTTCCCAGAGGACCTCAGTTCCGCTCCTAGCACCTACGCGGCTGCTCACAACCAACTGTGACTCCAGTTCCAGAGATCAATGCCCTCTTCTGGCCTGTGTGTGTATCGGGTATGCCTGTGCTACACAGACATAAATGCAGGAAAAACACCCCATACATAAAATAAAAATAAATAAATATTAAGAAGGGGGAGGAGGAGAGAGAGGACGAGGATTGAAGGCAAAGGAACTACAGATAAGAGCAGTTGCCAACCAGAGCCACAAGCTGAGAGCCACTCCAAGAAACATTGTGCTATTACCAACCACCTGAGGGCCAACATTACTTTGTCATAATTAGTAGTAAAATGAAGTTTAGAGCCAGGCATGGTGGCCCCATGGCCTTAATCCCAGCATTTGGGAAGTAGAGACAGGAGGATCAGGTGTTTGAGGCTAGCTTGAAATATATGAGATCTTGTCTCAAAAAAACTAAAATAATTTTTCTTTAGAGATGAATAGTACACACACACACACACACATATGCCACTTTTTATTATCCACTCATGTGCTGATGAACAGCTAACTATTCAGCTCTAAAGAAAAATTAAATCACAAAATTTTTAGGAAGATGGATGGACTTAGACTATATAGTGTTAAGTGAGATCATATGCAGAAACTAACCAATATATGATATATGCAAACAAATGTACAAGTGGGCATAGCCTAACTAGCAGAAAAGTAAATATTAAGGGAAGAGGAAGGGCTGTGTGCACGCAAGGAACATGACTCATCAGAGAGGACAGATAAGTTCTAACTCCGCTATGGACTTTTCATTTTGGTGGGTGGCTAAGGGCATAAAAATATTTTCAATACAGAAAGTATGAAACCCAATGTGAAGCCCCACAGCTTCTTTTCTGCATGGTTTCTCTAACTGCCTAGAAGGTCACGGAGTTATTATGTAGTATTTGGGTCTGGTAAATTTTGATTGGTGCATGTGTTTTTTTTTTTTATTATTTGTAATTTTTTTAAATAATGAAGTTTAAGTGTAAAAAAAAAAAGAGAGAAAAGAAGGAAAACTAAAGATAAATAAAGAACAACAAAACCCTCAAAATGTTGGAACTAACGAACATTTCAGAATATTGTGTGTGGTGGAGCCTTTCGGCAGTGCCATTATTCAGGGTTCTGTATGACCTTAAGAAAATGCTACTACAGCCCAGGAAAGTTCAGACCAGGCAGACAAGTATTCTGTGTCACACAGCCACGTGCCCTTCTTAGAGAGATGCTGAGCCTGGCTCTAGGGGGGACTGGTGACAGAGAGCTGAGCAAACAGCTCTCTTGGGAAATGACCCAATGGGCAGTGGGCAGTGGAGAATTTCGTCACCACTTCGGTGATATGACTGTAACTGAGACATCACTGGTCACTGGAAGTGAACATGGAGTGTGAAAACATGCTTCTTCATGTAGAATAAAATGTTTCTGTGGTAATGCTACATGTCATCACTACATAGCCAAGTATGATATCAGAAAGAGTTCTCCAAACCAATAGGAGTGACTACTATGCAATAATAAAAATTGAAACCATATTTCCAGCAATCAGGCCCCAACACAGCTATTATGGCAATTGTGTCACTGGTCCGATAGCCATGGAAAGGAATGGTTTAGTCCAAAGGGTGGAGTTTTTATTTATTGGGAGTGATGTGACCAAAAGATAAGGTGGAGAGAAGGGACGCATGTGTCCTTTTGGACCGAGGAAGCAGGAGTAGCTGGTGTAGCAGCAGGTGACCCAGTTAGGAGTCTCCATTCTGTTCTATAGTAACTATGCACAGATTTTACTTCTTAATAAACAGCATAGTAATCACTTGACTTCATTCTTTACACAGCCTCTGGTCTAAGAAAGGAGCTATATATAAAGTCCTAACCTTAGTAACAGCCACCTGAATAACGACCTTCTTTTCTCACACGTCCCTCTTCATCTTTACCTACTATTGTTTCAGACACGATGGCCTGGCTACTTCTCCCCATCTCTTCGGTTTAAAAAAAAAAAAAATGACCTATTTTGTTTTGAACTATGTGCATCTGCAGAGGTCAGAAAAGGGTAGTTACAGGCGACTGGGCGCTGGCCAATGTGGATGCTAGGGAAACAAATTTGGGTCCCCTGGAAGAACAGCAAGAACGCTCACCCACTAAGCCATCTTTTGAGTTGCCCACCCTCTCGCCATGTCTTCATTTTGATGAACTGTTTCATCACACATGGAATTATTGTAGAGAGAAATTTGGTTTCTGTTTGTTTTTTACTGACATTACTTACACTTTTGAAGAATGAGGTATCAAGAAGGCATGAAGATTTCGGAGTTGTGCTATAATCACCATGAAACTTGAACTTTTTGTATCATATCTGTCAAAAGAGACAATGAATCAAGTGTGGTAACCACAGCCACTGGCCAGGCACCTCCCCCACCCTCACTGGCTTACCTGAGTCCTATCTGCACCTGGGCGGTCTCCACAACAGAGACATCCTCTTCACTATAGGGAGCGTCCTCCACTTCGCCAGGCCTATGCAGGAGCAGGTGAGCGGTCAGTTAACAGGAAAATTCATTGTTATAGCTCCTCTTTGCCTTCTCTCGTTTTGAAGGGAAACTGAATTAGCAGCCCTTCTATCCCACTTCTGTGGAACTGACCCCTGTGGGAGCTGCTGATTCAGGCTTCTTCAAGTCTATCAAGAGTCAGACTTTGAGCTTAGGGAACAAACTTTGTGACGTCTGGCTTTCCTGAGCCCCGTGAGGTTATCCCACTACCTCAAGAGCTTTCAGATATCTAAACAAGGTACTTCATGTGTCAAATAAGCATTGGCCAATCACCAAAATTCCTAGAAATAGCAGTGTCTGAAATCTCAGAACAGCTGCCTTGAGTACACCCACCTGCCCGTCATTTCCACAGCTGGCAGGATGTTTCTGGTGGGGGACCACACTTTACAGTACGCATGAGCCTGGCTGGCAGGCATGCAGGGGACCACACCTTACAGTATGCATGGGCCTGGCTGGCATGCAGGGGACTGAGTGTGCCCCTGTAGATTCCTTACTGTTTCATGGACGCTTCGTAGACTCCACTGTCCCCAGCCACAGATTCATCAGAGGCAGCAGCTGACACACATGCAGTTTTGTTCCCACGCAGGTGGATTCCTCCTCTTTTGGGTAACGACTTTTCCATATCTAAGGTGGAGAAAGTGATAGCCTCAATAGTGAGAAAAGTGTAAAGTACTCACACCATAGAAGCCCAAAGTACAACTTCCTTCTTAAAGTCAAGAGTTACCCCCCCATATTAACAAGTTGGGTGAGAGAAGACCCTGGGATTCAGAGGCTCTGGGGTTTGGTTGCTTAGAAAAAAAACTGTTTTTGCTTTGGTCTAAAAAATGACTTTTAAAAAGAGTTTAAGTGTATTGAATGTTTTGCCTACATTTTTATAAATGCACTGTTGCCTGCAGTACCCATGGAGGCCAGAAAACAGCGATGGATTTCCCAGGTCTGGAGTTACAGGTAATTGTGAGCCAACATGTGGGTCCTAGGAACTGAACTCCAGTTCTCTGTAAGAGCATCAAGTGCTCCTACTGAGCCAGCTCTCAAGCCCATTCTGCCCACCAACTAAAAAAACAATAAAAAATACCTAAGTGTAGTGCGTGCGTGCATGCGTGCGTGCGTGCGTGAGATGGACATGTGGAGGTAAAGAGGACAACCTGCAAGAGGCAACTCTCTCCTTCCATCATCATGTGTGATGGAATCCAGGTTGTCAGTCTTGGATGCAAATACCTCAATGCACTGACTCATCTCACAGGTCCTTGCCCTAAAATATTTTAAGACAAGGGATAATAATTCCCCATTACCCTCTGCTTCTTTGCTTCAAGCTCCCATGAACCACTACAAACTCTGCCTAAGCAACCGTGCGCCCCCATCAAACACTGTCGAGCAAGTCCACAGAGGAGAGGTGCTTCCCACGTTTGTCTACAGGTCCCTTTCTCCCTTCTCTTGTGCCAGTCTTCTAACAGAAATGAAAGAGAAAACCACTTTGATTTAGATGGATTTTCACCAGCTAATACCAAAAAAAAAAAAAAAAACAACAAAAACCCCAAAACTTTTTTTTGTGCTGCTGACTCTTTACAGCTACCACTTAACTTTTATCTCTAACTCATATTCATATGCCAGCATCCTGCAGGGAGCAAGGAGCATTCACTTAAAGCTGTGCTCTGTACTGTAATAAGCTGCAAGCCCGCCTAGCGCCGAGTTTCTTTCATCCGCCTGGTAGTGAGCCGGAGGAGCAGTATTGCTATGCATTGCGGCCCCCCTCTGAGTCGTGACTTTACATCCTGTTAAGATGTTTAAGTTTTAAGGCTTCAGATTACAGGATTGATTGCTGCATTTTCTCTTTTATTTCTGGCAGTGAGAATGCTTTTCCCTTGATGATGAAGTGCCTTCTCTTTGCCCACCCCCCTTTGTGAGGGGTGAAGGTGATGACATGATTTATTGATTACCCCCAGGAATTACCGCAGCAGTCTGGAAACTGACTTTGACAATGACAGAGACTGACTGTGGGAAGACTTCATAGCTAATTCCAGCTTGGTTTCTGTCAGCCGGCTGCAGGGATTGGTGCTGAGAGAAAACTGTCTTAGAGAATAGACTGGGCTTCACCTGTGGAAGGCCCTAGGATGTTAAGACAGTGTCCTTCTAAGTGCTCCCTCCCTTTAAGGGGTGGGAAGATGTTCCCGGGGCCTCAACGGTTAAGACACATGCATTCCGCTCTTCTCAGACAGGAAACTGAAAGGTAACCGCACACAAAGCCCATGTGGATTTTTCCCAGTACCTGACATGGAACCCAGGACATCAGATGTCCTAGGCAAGCCTTTGCCACTGAGCCACAGCCAGGCCTACAGTACCTTTTTAATAACAGTGTTGTGTAACACATAAAAGGTTTTAAAACAAAACAAAACAAAACTGGTTTCATGGGAACTTCCTCCAGGCACCTGTTTCCAGCCACAAAGTCATCAACAGAGCTGCAAGCAAACTCCAGTATTAGGACCTCGGTAGCCGTTGAGCCACCATGCCTGTATAACTGGGGGATCAGGATCATTAGGTGACAGTCCTTGTGCTGAAGTTTTGGGGACCCTCCTGCTTTCTGAGCATCTGTTATTGGGTACTGGGTTTGCCATCTGACAGGATGTTGAGAAACATTCACTAGAAAATATTGCAAATACATAAAGGATGCTCAACAAGTGTCATGCCCTAGAAAGCAAAAAGCAAGGATGGCCCGACCACAAATGTGCTCTGCTTCTTCCCCCACATTGCAGCGTGGTGTGGAGCGAGTGGGCACACCCGTGTCGATGGCCCCCTTCCCTACACAGGCCACCACTTACCACAGACTGCCATTCATGGTCTCGCACTCTGTGAGGGTGACTGTGCAGATGAGGAATGGGTCTACATGACAGGGATAGTGTGCTCGCTCACCAGAACAGCCAAAGAGGCAAGTGAATGGAGTGCAGGCACTGCTCCGTGGTACTTCTTCTCACGGCCCAGTGGAGCCCAGCGGCTCTCTGGTGCAGGGAGCCATTATGGTTACGTCTCCCATGCGCTCTTTTGTGTGAGTGGGTGCCATATTTTAACAGAATGGCCTGTGATGTTGGCACATCTCTGATAGAGGGCATACAGACTGTAGGAAGGTCTCATCCACTCCATTTCTGCTCCCGCCACTGATGAGAACACAGCACTTCATTATTCAGCATAAGAAACCCCTAAATCAAGTTGTATTCATCTACATCTTTAAAAATCTCAATCGACCAATCAGCTAATACTTAAAATTCCTACACCTGTGTACACAAATAAAAACACGCCTTAAAACAGCAAGGACAGGGTTTTTTGCACATGGTGTGGGACACACTGACACATGCTGGCTGAACAGGATGTTCTGGCACGAGTAGAAAGTTCGATTCCCACCTTGCTTCAAGCTAGCTATAGAATGGACTATCCCCAGAACACAGGACTCGCTGCACTTCAAGCTTCCTCAATGCAGAGGAAAGCAAGGTTAATAAACACTGTGCTCATTCCAGACTCAGCATCAGCCCATCTCTTCCTGGACCTGCAGCTGGGAGAGCAGCCAGCAGATGGCAGACCAACTCCGGACACTGGACTACAGCCACCAAGTAACTGGGGCAGAAAGGAGAGGAGTCTGACATACACCAAGAACTGTTTATATAGAACTCCCCAAGCAAGCTAAACACTGAACCTTTGCGCTAATTAGCCAATATGCTAATTGACTTTGTTTTCATCTGTTCAGGGCAATTTTAAAAAGAAAGTTCTTTGCTATTTCTGAACCAGACACCAGGTGGAAGTGTGTACTGCCCATAAAATACAGCCTGGATATCTACCACCCACAGAGAACCCCTGGACTACAGAGCAGGCACCGATGGTTGAGTCTATTAAATAGAAAGGCAATATTTTGAGTGTATGCACGTACACATTTGTGTACACAGGTGCTTGTATGTCTAGGCTAGCAGTTGACACTGGTGTCTTCCTCAGTAACTCTCCATCTTTTGGGGACAAAACCTGGAGTTCAGCAGATCAGATTCAGTTGTCTGACCAGAAAACCCTGGGAACCCTCCTACCTCTGCCTCCCTGGCTCTGGAATCACAGGTGTGAGCTGTCACAGCGGCTTTTCCATTGGCGATGGGGATCTAAATTTTGACCTTCATACTTGCACAGCAAGCACCTGGCAGACCTCACACCATCTCCTCAGCCCCTGTTTTCATTATGTGGTACCGGGATATTGAATCCAGGGCCTTGTACTCATGAGGCAAGCTGTCTACCACTGAGCTGTAACTATGTCCCCTGTCTGGAATGGCAATTTTTATTTGACAGAGAAAAAAAGTCTACATATAGAATAAATGCTCTTTAAATGAACACCCTGGAGAATGAGGAGGGAACCATACCCATTCTTTAAAGATTTATTTGTTGTGTATACAGTGTTCTGCACACCAGAGGAGGGTGCCAGATCTCATTATAGATGGCTGTGAGCCACCATGTGGTTGCTGAGAATTGAACCCAGGACCTCTGGAAGAGCAGCCACTACTCTCAACCTCTGAGCCATCTTTCCTTTATATGTGGAAAGAGTGACCTAAGGGGCGGGGGGAAGCAAAGATCTACACTCACCTGTTGTTCCTTCATATAGCAACTGCCCTGTGCATTCATCAAGGTCTTTGTCCTCCAAGAGAGACTGGGATGCTCCTGAATCCGAATCCAGCAAGACCTGATTTTCGCCAAGGCCAATATCAGCGAAGTGGCTACTCAATCCACAGTCCTCAAAGTCAACAGTGAACTGGTGCAGAGGGGTGTCGTGTGAAGACACTGGAAATGTGCTGTCCAAGACCAGAGGAGAACCAGGAGGGGACAAGGACGAAAGAGAGGACCTGGAGGAGAGGGACGCCACTGACTTGGAGGCCTCGGTCAGTGGCGGAGTGTGGCTGCTTGCTGCAGCCGCCACCCCACACAGCCCACTCTGCTCAGGCTGGCTGGGAGACTTGACCACCTCATTTTCGTGAATGGTGGTGATGGGTCCAGAAGGGATGTAGCTGCCCTTCTCTTGAAGAAGGAAGTCCAGTTTACATTGATAGTCTGCATCCATCGAATCGCCCTGGCTGGTGTAGTAGAGTTCACTGGAACTGAGGGAGTTGAGGGACCCTCTGCTGGAGGTGTTCAGAGAGCCCCGACTGGATGTCAGGGACCCCAGACTGCTTCCAGACGACATGGACAGTGTGCTGGAGGAGAGGCTGGGGAAGAACGGGACACTGTAAAATTGGCACTCTCCGCGAAGCACAGCGACAGTGCACACTGCCTCCTTCAGACAGGAAGGGAATAGAAACAATGGTGCCCAGGAGTTAAATCTCTGGCCTGGGCAGAGGAACTCACTGGCAGAACAACCATTCCCCTACTCACTCATTAATATTAGCAACCTGGCTCTCACACACCTCAGCAATTCTGGTCTTTAAACAACACAGGACACATGGCCAGGAGTGGAGGTACACACCTTTAATCCCAACACTTTAGAGGCAGAGGAAGAAGAGTCTCTGAGTTCAAGGCCAGCCTGGTCTACATAGTCAGCTCCAGGACAGACAGGGCTATACAGAGAGACCAGGTCTCCAAAATATTTTGGTAATTTAAACATTAATTGATTGGGCATAACTTGTATGCTTACTTTAAGCAGCTAAAACCAACCAACAAGGAACCAGGACTTGCCTGGGTGCTGTGGTACATTTCCCTGCAAGGACCTGACAAGCTTACCTTTTAAGTTGTGAATACAAATAAGTAGTTAACTTAGTAGTTTCTTCAAGTTTCTGTAGCAGCTCTTTTCTTTTCTCTTCTAATTTTAATCTAGGAAAGGAAATTAAAAAAAAAAAAACAGACATTAATTTCCAAATAATGTAGAAACCAAAGCTAAACAACAGAAAACTTCAGTATCCCGGCATAGTATGTAAGAGGGACACACCTGGGCAAACTTGATAAAGAGAAAACAGACAAGAGGCAAAGCTTTACAGCCATGATAAATGAATCTGGATGGGTTATATCCAGTGCCAAAGCCAGGAAAGCTTTAAAATGTTGACAGTGTAAACTTTTCTTAGGTTGGTAAATGATTTGGCCCTAGTCGTGGAGAAAACAGCAGCAATGTGGAATACAGCAAAAGCCTAAGCATAACTGTAGGCTGGCTTCTCATTTGAAAAACACTAGGCAGCAATAATAGAGATATGTAAAAGGTCACCTGAAGTACTGAGTTTAGCAAGTGCTGTTGTAACACAGCATTTAATGATGAACACTCCAATGCTAATTTCCTGGGAGGTTTAACATTGGGAAAGATGCTACCACAAGGTAGCCTGCCATTACATTTTCAGCAAGAAGTCCCTGGCTCCATCCTGCCTCATCATCTGAAGCAGATTATCACACAGTTAGAATACTGGAGAATTTTATCTTAAAACAAAAATGTTTCAAAATAGGTCACACATCCAAGGAAAAGCTTAGTGCCTGCACAAATCGCATCAGCTGAGAGGCCTGATACGTCATGTCATCCAGGAAAGGCAGTGCCCAGTGCCCAGTCTGGGATTTGCTGTTTGTGAGCCCAGTAACCTTCGGTAAAGCCAGGGGCTAGCGGGGCTCACCTTTCTCTTCTGTGAATGGTGATTACAATCCTTCTGTCTACCTGATAAGGCTGTTAAAGGGATCAAACGGAGTAAGGCATGGGAAAGTGGTCTACAGCCCTCAGAACAATCCCATTTGTTCACAGCCCTGCGTGGTGGTGATATATACAATTAACCACATTGCTTTGCTTTAAAGAAAAAGAACGTACCCCCAATTTCCAAAGACTTTGAAATTGTATGCATATCTTGGGTAGTGAGGGGATGTACTCATTTTATTTATAGGTACCTATCCCTTTGATGTGTCAACAACACAGTTTCCCATTACATATTACAATTAAAAAGTAATTCTTGCCATTTTCTGGAACTCTTTCATAACTTTTATAACTTCATTTTTACGAAGTGCAGTCTATTTTTTTTTAAATCTCTCAAACAAATCAACTCAATCGGAAAGAAAAATAGAGATGAACTCAATCAGAAGGAGACACAAGGGTCCGGGGGCAACCCCCAAATACTGCCAAAACATGTATCTCTAGTAACAGGTGAAATACTCCAGAAATACGTAATATTTTCAAACTAAATATCACTTTTACTAATACAAAGATACCTCCTCACATTCCAAGGGGCTCTGAAATCACATCAAGGAGGATGGCACCCTCTGTTCTCAAGGCCATGATGATGCTCAGGGGTTGCTGTGACAGCTCCTGCAGGCTGTCTCTCAACTACTGGTGCATGGCTTTTGTGCTCATGTGTACTCTCCGGTGTGTATGCACACATGCATGTGCATGGTTTGTGTGTGTGTTCATGCATGCGCATGTGTGTGCCTGTGTGGTGTGTTTGTGAGTGTGTGTGTGTGTGTGTGTGTGTGTACACACCAGAAGTTGATGTTGATGCCTGGTATCTTTTGAAGATCATTTTCTACCTTATTTATTTTACGTGTATGGCTGTTTTGTCTGCATGCATGTCTGTGTACCACATGCATACATTGCCTGTGGAGAAAAAGAGGGTGTCAGATCCCCCACCCCCTAGGGCTGGAGTTACAGCCACTTGTGAACCACCCATGTGGGTGCTAGGAACCGACTCTGTGTGGTCTTAACCAATGAGTCACCTCTTCAGACACTGGGTTCACTGAACCTGGCACTCATGGATTGGCTAGTCAGTCCCCAGGGTCCACCTTTGCAGGGTCCACTAGGAATGCAGACACTTGTAGCCATGCTTGGCTTTTTAATTTTGTAAATGCAGGTCTCTGGCTCCAAAGTCTGTCCCTCGTGCATACAGAGTAGACACTCGACTGAGCCATCTCCAAAGTGTCCTTGGTCACAAGTTCCCACAAATGACACTAAGACCCTAGAAGGCGGGCATTTGCTCTTCCTTGCTCCTCTATACAAACTTCTTGCTGGTGTCACTAGAAGGCTGATAAAGGAATGGTAAAAAGCCACAGAAATCCCATAGTGGGGGCAGCAGCTTCTGCCCTTAATGTAATCATTAAGCCTTGTCAGTGGAGGGCAGCTGGAAGTCTTCCTCAGACTGTAGGTGACAAGGTCCTCCATGCCCTGGGATTATGAACATGGTCCTCTTCCTGAGCTTGGCTCTCTACGTTCCTTCCAAGTCCTGACCTTTTTTCCTCAGAGAGAAAGGGGCTCATAAAGAGTAACCTCCACCCTGTATCCATCCTGTTTCTCTTCACTGCCTTTCAAGCTGTCCTTGGCAATACATCAGGCCATCATCTCTTCCTGTCTCTACCTCAGCATTTGGAGGGAGAGAGGCACTGTGTCTCCTGAACTCACAACTTTGCACTTGAGAAAGCACATATACCATTGATACAGCAAAGCAGTCTCTTTTCTATTAAAAAATAAAAACAGATGGCATTCATGTGCCCGGCCCATTTCTTTTAAATAATCTCCAGATGCCTTAGCAAAAACTTTTAAGTAATTCAGGCATACTAATGATTTCTGGGTGAGCCCTTGGAATTTGTGTGAAGCAGCAAAGATCTGTCTGCCACAGGAAACCACAGCTTATGGAATGTCAATGCTGTGGGGGAGAGTATGAAGGGGTTGGTTCAGCAGTTTCTCTTTTGATCAATGGACAGCTCTGGCTTGTGCAGATTGGCTCTATTACCACTAGAGGGAGATGTGTGCCACTGCTGTGGGGTTCAAGGCTATTGCAATACAGTGGCAGCATGGGATAGACACGGGGTGCCTGAGAATTCATGTGCATTTAGTGTCTTTGGAGACCACAGTTTGAGTTCACCCCTGAAATAATGAACCCACAACAGGATGGGAAGCAGAAAAGCTTGAGGCAAGGCAGCAGCGAGCTTTCATCGATTATGTCAGCACTAAGAAGAAAGCGAGAGTCTGGTGTTGACCATGTGCTCGATGATGAAAACTGAATTCTCCTTCCTAGGGTGTTGCTGGCCACCACCTGCTCTACCACCTCGGGGATGTGGCTCAGAGGGGTAGGCTCTTACTTACTAAGGTTCAAGGATCGGAGCAACTAGCAAAAATAAGTTTACATCGTAGGAAGCAGGGATGGGGGGACAAGGACTAGCAAAAGGTGAGGGAGTGCGATGGGACAGAAAACAAAACATCAGCAGGAACAGCCAGGCCCTCCAGTGCTGTGTCTGCTTCCCGCAGCTCAAGGCTCTGCTCCTTAGGAGGCGTGGAAGTGAACTGTGAGCAAGCATGGGGGGCTGGGTTGATCGAAAGGAACATTTGAGTCCCTCCCCCTTGCGGTGTAGCATAGTGGTGGGATTTGCCCTTGATCACAGATACTAAAAGGGCATTTGTATGCACCTGCTTGGTATGCCAAGTGGCTTGACTTCCAGAGGACTCAGAAAATCAGCATATTACATAAACAAAAGATAGACACATCCCTTCCTGCTGCTATCAGTCAATGATAGATGGGCTGTGCAGGTGAAGTCAGCTGACCACACTGAGACTATTCCCCATATGGCACAAACCCCACGGGTGCTTCTCACTAAATATTATCATTATTTTATATATGTACTATGTAGTACCTGATTCTGCTGAGTCCCAACCTGCCACTAGAAATTTGACCGTCGTTATGTGTGTGCAAACAAAGTATAAAAATTACTCAGGAACAAACCATGCCCAATAAAACAGACAAGCAGGAAGCATGGCATGCCTTTAAATGTGGATAAGATGGACACGTTCCCTGTCTCCTGCTAACAAAGCGAACAGAAGATCAGAGGCCTTTTCCAGGCTCATGTGCCACAAAGGATAAGAGACTTACACTTAGCACATTAGACAAGTATGGTCTAACCAACCGTGGAAAACCCTGAATTTGTATTGATCACATATGAGCCTTCACTTTGTCATTGTTCCCTAAGCTACACAGTAATACAGCTATGTCCATAACATTTATTTTGTGTTATGAATTGTAAGTAACCTAGAAAGTGTTCAAAGCTTAAAAGGAGACATGTGTGTTTCCTGTTAACACTACACAATTTGTACAGATGCATTGTGGTTTGGGTATCTGCGAGGGGTCCTGGACATCAAGAGAACAACTATCCATGGTATTTAGTAAGTACTGTGTGCAATGTGAAATGCACTGGTGTTATACACAGTGAGCCCACAAAGGCTGCCTGCTTCATTACATTCACTACCGAGTCTGCAGGAAATTGAAATTGTACAAATGCAGACCAGTGAAAGTCACCCTTCCCTTCTCCTTACTCTTGTGCCTTTGGGTGCTTGTTACCTGGGTATTTTCCTCACTCCTAGAACTATCTCTTCTACCAACACTAGACAGAGCAAGCAAAGGAAGATGGATGAGAAGTGGACACGAGGCAACAGTGAGAATTTAGTGGAATGTGTGCAGTCTGCAGAGGGTTTGTCTTGGGATACCTGTTCATGGTCCCTACAACCGGGATGCTGCGGCCACATGGAGCATCACCAGGACTCCCCCAAATGGCTAAACTCAAAACATGCACATGCTAAGACCTCATCAGAAATGGCAAGTTTTCCCCTTCCCATCCCTGTTCCCATACTTTCAAAATAGTTTAACATTTAAAGCTGTAGACATTTATTGAGAAACAGGGATTAGAAGGCAAGAGACAGAATGAATGAAAAGAGAAACTGGGTTCTGGATGGATGTCTGAACTTATTTCCAGGTCACTAGGGATACACATGCAGTTAGTTGCCTGGGACATAACCTGCCCCTCCCGTGCTGGTCTATGATGCACACTGGTTCTGAAGGGCCACAGTTTGTCACCAAATGAGTACACTGCTGCAGCAGCCACAAGATCTATGAAAGCACAAGGCTGTGCTGCAGGTGTGTTCACATCCAAGGGACATGCATGTCCTCTGATTAACCTTCCTGCCAGTCTGCAAGAGGCACTGCATATTTTAAACAGCTCACACCTTTCCACAGAAAAATCAGAAGATTGCTTGGAATGACTACTGCCTTTGTCTCAGAAGCGGGTTTGTCTCAGAAGCGGGTTTCAGCTGATACGCCACGTTCAGGGAACATCTTGCAACTGATTAAGATATCAAAGAGAGCAAGCTGTCTGTTCCTCTCCTTTTGAAATTAAAAGCAATAAACACATGACTTCTTGTCAGTACCAGGGAAGGCTCCCTTGCTGTATGAACAGTCCAGATCATCTTCCTCACAGAACAACAGTTTACAGCTATTGCTATCAGACTTGCTCAGGGATGGACCACATTCCTGATTTATGTCAACATTCCTTAGCTACTAGACATCTGTCAAGAGCACTTTCACATTCCTAATAGATACAGAGGAGGGCGAGCTTTATTGCTCTGCAAAAAGGAAAGTGTTTTGCACTGTTTCTGAGTTCATTGACAGCAGAAGTTATTTAAGATATCCAAACCCAGGGAAATGTCACCATAAGGCACAACCACAGGTTCTAGTCACCCTTTTTCCCAGAAAACAACCACACCTCTCGGCCAGAGCCCTGCTGGGCAAGCCCCGCGAGGACATCAGCTCCTCCTCCAGCCGCTGGCGCTCTGCTTCCAGGCGGTCTAGCTCGTCCCGGGTGCGTTTCTGCGGGGTGATGAACTGCAGCTCTTTCAAAAGCTCTTCTTTCTCATTGATCAGCATCAGCTTCTCCTTCTCGATGTCCAGGGCCCCGGGCCAGGCCTCACTGTCCAACTTTGACAGTTCAATTTTCAAGTTAGCCATGCTAAAAGACATACAAGACACACGTGTTTAGGACTCCCAGGAAATGGGAATACGAGCCCAGGCTATGTCTGGGCTGCAATCTACATCTTCCCGGCGGGCAAGCAGCAGCCACACACTCCAGAACATGTGAACAGAAACATCTAAAGTAGAGGACCACAGGTAGGCATCTGTGATCTGTGTGAGGTCATGGGAGGGCTAGCTAGAAGTTTCCATTAAGAAACAAACAGGGACTGGAGAGATGGCTCAGTAGTTAAGAGAACTACTGTTCTTCCAAAGGACCTGGGTTCAATTCCCAGAACCCACATGGCAGCTCACAACTGTCTGTAACTCCAAACACAGAAATATGTGCAGGAAAACACCAATACCAAAAAAAAAAAAAAAAAAAAGGGGGGGGGGGCTGGAGAGATGGCTCAGCAGTTAAGAGCTCTGGCTGCTCTTGCAGAGGTCTTGAGTTCAATTCCCAGCAACCACATGGTGGCTCACAACCATCTGAAATGAGATCTGGTGTCCTCTTCTGGTCTGCAGGGATACATGCAGACAGAATACTGCACAATAAATAAATAAATCTCTAAAAGCAAGCAAACAAACAAACATGTCAGGGTGCCCCAATATGCCATGGTTGTAGGCTAGAATTCTTTGGGTAACGCTTCTGTCCCCAAGTTAAATGGTACTTCCAGAGCTGAGTAGAAGCTGAAGTAATAGTGGATCACAGAAGGAAGAAATGAGAAAGGAGAAGAGACGTAGTTCACTCATATCAGGGCAAAACCAATTTGGTTTTTTTTTCCTTTCTTTCTTCTTTTCTTTTTTCTTTTTTTCTTTCTTTCTTTCTTTCTTTTCTTTTTTTTGTGTTTTTCAAGATGGTTTCTTCTGTGTACCCCTGGAGCCTGTCCTGGCACTCACTCTGTAGACCAAGACCAAGCTGGCTTCGAACTCACAGAGATCTGCTTGTCTCTGCTTCACGAGTGCTGGGATTAAAGGCCTGTGCCACCCAAAACAAATTCTTTCTGGTCTCATATCACCAAGGAGGATGGGCAGGGCCTCACTTCCTCCCACCCCACTTTTCCCAAGCCTGGGAAATTTGCCCCTCCACTGGGGTCTTTGTATGGTAAGCATTCATTATTGAGTAATCTCATACCATCTGAGGTGTTACTTCTGACCTGTGTTCTGTCTGGTTATTTGGCTCTAGAGGAGCAGGCACAGTGGACCTTAACCAGCAAAGCAAAGGTGGCCGGTGTGGCAAGCACAGAGTGAAGGAGAAACAGAGGAAGAAGAGGGAAAATGCCACTGTGAAGCCTCTAGTGTCAGTCTTGGCTGACAGGGGACTCCCATGTCTACAGTCACGTTATAGATGGTCAAATTTACATAACTCCCAATTCAGCAAAGTGCTGAGTCTCCTGAATGAAACCACTTGCCCTGCATCTATCTCTATGAAGACAGTCAGGACTTCCTACAAGATGAAAGCAGATGGCTCATTGGCCAGAAGGTACAAGACCCAGATAAACTAGAGACACACTTGTGTTGACACAAGAAACCCTAACCCTACACAGACTGCTCGGTGATTGCTTTGGCTAGTGTGGTGGCACAGATCGTGTGAGAAAAACACATAGGAAATGGGAGGTTCCCTATTTTGTAGGAAGAAACTATAAAGTAAAGGAAGAGACTGTTATGAAAAAACAATTCAAAACAAGGTCCACATCCCTGTGCCTTGTTAAAAAGCAAAATCTATCTTAGATGGAAACATTCGGTGTATACTTCTCTTCCATCTCCTGTCTGCACTTACCATAGATAGAACATTAGCTATCCTTCGGTTTTAACACAAAACCGTAAACTGTCTCAATGTACTGGAAAATTAATCACCAAATTGCTAAATAAGCATGATTATTACCTTCACTGAGCATATAAAACAAAAGCTGGAGGAGAAAGCAGGTTCAGGGAAGAACAACTCACATCTTCCCTTGTTAAAAATTGAGGAGAAAAATACATTTTCAAAATATGCAAAATTTCTTGAGAGTTGCCTTCTAGGCATCATCACCAGAAGCCCTAAAATCAATTCCAAGTAACACACCAGTGCGGCCAAATAGCAAAAACCATCAGCCTAAGTTTTGATGTGACCAAAGTAGCCAATTGAGTTGGGAGTAACAGCAAGGTACCGGGAAGAAAGGTAGGCACTGTTACGGTTGGTCACCTTAGAGAGAAAGGTCAAGGTGATCCAAAGGCAGCAAGGTGACGCCCATGAGAAGCGATGCTACAAGCCCTGGTGCTCTGTAATTCTGAGTTATGGCCAATAGACTTCAGAAACCAGACACAAATCCTGGGCTGTGTCCATGGCAGAACCAAGGAGTTCTGGCTGTTACAGGGTTGGACATGCCAGCCTGGAATCGCTGTCCTGTCTCTGGGCCTCCAAAGCAAAAAATCAGCCCTCAAAACCTACTGAAGGCAAGCACCAGTTCTGTTCCTGGGAAGGAGATAATATAATTAAAAAAGCTTTCCTACCCTCAAGACATTTAAAATCTGTTGGGGGAAGTTAAAGACATTAAAATTAGCTGAGTTAAATGTCACTCAGAGTGACCAAGGGACTTGTTCAAGGTCATGTGGTTAATCATTTGTGAAATAAAAGCTTGGGTTTCTGTTCAGTAAATTGAAGACCCAAGTACTATTTGAAACACTGGCAAACAGAGGCAAATATTGTAGTAATATTCATCTCACTGTGTTAAGGCCAGATAACCTGCATTAAAATTGGATCGTCTCTAGCAATATTGGACACATATGAGTGTCTGAGGGTCCCTCTTTATGTAGAGCCACAATGCTCTGGGAGGGCTTCATGGGTTGAGGGGGAACAAGATAAATTCCTTGGTCCTGTGTGGTAACTGCAGTTTCTCTTACTGTCTCCTAGATGATGAGAATCAATGGCATTTTTTAAGCTCTTTAAAAGAAAAACAATGAAGTCAATGGTATCAGAATGACCGTCAGCCTCAGAACGGGGTGACCTGCTATATGTAGGACCAGAAGAGATAAGGAATTAAAAAGATGTGAACACAAAGGCTTATGACGTAAGGGAGAGAGTCCCTCCTCCTTCCCTGACCTGTCTGCTGGAACAGGTTTGCAGCACTTTCTAGGTAGGGAGCCTTAGGGACAAAGGGCTACCCAGAGGCAATCCCCAGCAAATGTGTGGGGCGTGTAGGTCTAGGAAGCACCTACCTCATTTTCAATTGGATGTATTATCCAAGCTTAAAACTACCCCTCCCCCACCACAAGGGAAGGGGAAACTTTAATCCCCATACTTCTCATTAAATTGTCCTTATTCAAGATGGACACAGTGGCACACACCTTCTCTCAGCACTTGGGAGGCAGAGGCAGGTGGATCTCTGAGTTTGAAGCAGCCTGGTCTACAAGAGTAAGTTCCAGGACACCCAGTGTTACATAGAGAGAAACAGTATATCAATCAATCAATCAATCAATCAATCAATCAATCAATCAATGGCCTCTATTTCTCAGCTTTGCAGGGAACGGGAAGAAAGCTGGGAGTCAGGAAGAAACATTTACAGGTTAAAGCAAAGATTAACCCTGAAAGGACCATCCTTGGAGCCTATTGACCGAGGCAAGACAACCCCTGGCCCTCACCTTCTCTTGGCTTCTTCATACTGGAGACTCAGCCTGACCTTTTCAGCTAAATTTGATCTGCTCCGTACCCCAATCTAGTAAAAAACAGAAGGAAAAAAAAGTCAATTAACTGTGCTAATGAATGGAGTAAACTGCTTTTGTTTCTAGGAAGCACAAGTAATTGAAAAGCTGGAGAAAATGGCACTCGAATGGGGAAGAGCAGGTTAAAAGGCACTTACTCAGCAGGGGGAGGTATCCTCCAACCCAGGTTCATCTGCTTCGCAAAGACTTTCGAGACACTCTCCCCACAGATTAAATCCAAGACAAAAATATCAGGGAAATGTGTCTGGTGTCTGAGAGTTTATGAAGGGTGTGTAGGTCAATGAAATTTACGAAATGGAACGGATTTCCCTGCCAAAATTTCCATTATTTAACTCACAACTCTGCACAATGTAGATGAAAGCACCTCAGGAATTAATTTTCAAACAGGTAAAACCTACTGTCAGCACATGTCTGCTTCATTTTCACAGGGCATGCGTCTAATAGTCATAAACAAAAGCTGGAGCCTAACAAAACCAAACACTGTTCTCCAGGGAAAGGGGGAAATAACGGTATACAGGCCATAGGGAATATTTTCAAACATAAGTTATAATTCATGAATACTCAACTTTAAATTTATAAAAATTTCTTTTTTAGAAACAAAATCCCAAACTCCCATACACAGATGTATGTGTCTGTGAGCCTACAGTGCAAGTGGGTGTCTGGGGAGGCCAGATCTAGCTGTCAGAGGTTGTGAGCTGTCTGACACAGGTGCTGGGAGCTTCTGGGAGAGCAAGATACACTATTAAAGGCTGAGCCATTCTCCAGCCCCTTTGTGTTAGCCTTAAAAAGTACCTTTTCTGCTTCTGGGTTCCCTTAACGTTCACCTGAAGTGGTTCCAATTCATATGGCTGTAAATTGAGCTGGGAAGAAGTTATACTTGGTTGTGTTTCTACCTTTTCAATAGCATCCGTAAAGAAATGCAGCTGGGAATGTGCCAACTGTGTGTGCGCACTTGGCACTTTGACAGAAAAAGGCGCAGCTGTGACTTTTAAACTGAATCTGGAGGGTGAGATACTGAACACACTCTCCAGCTCCTGTTCTAGTCCTTCCCATCCAGTCACCACCGCCCCCATCACACCACCCCATCCTCCCTCACCACCCCACCCCACCCCATGGAAGACAGCCCTGGGCAGCTGAGGCCCTTTGGCTACTTACATCTCCAGAAATGTTTGTCTGTGACCCAGCGTCAAGGGTCTGTCTGGATAGAGAGAGGTGTGAGTTCACAGGACTAGATCTCAGGTCTGGCTCGGAACTGCCCATGTTCTGATCCAAGTGAAAGCGCCCCTGCAGCTTGGCGAGACTCTGTTAAGAAGCACACAGCACTTCCTAAGACTAACTGCACAAGGGCAGTTCCTTTCCACAGTGTCACTAAATGGAAGGTGTCATCCTGATGAAAGCCATGACTTATCTGTATCTTCTACACAAGGGCGCGATTGTAGAAGTATGTGAGAGCACACACAGCAACAGCAGGTCCCCCCTTCTCCTGTGGATCCTAGACTCTAGCTTTGTATTGATGCATGTGTGTTTGCGTGCGTCTCTGCATGTGAGAGTCTCATGTGTGCAGGTGCTCATAGAGGCCAGAAGAGGGCGTCTGATCCAGAACTGGAGTTACAGGCAGTTGAGAACCACCTGATATGGTCCTGGGGCTGGAAGAGCAGCAAGAACTCAATCACTGAGCCATCTCTCCAGTCTTTAGTTTGTTTGATTTTAGAAACAAGGTTTCTCTGTGTAGCCTTGGCTGTCCTGGAACTTGATTTGTAGACCAGGCTGTCCTGGAACTGGATTTGTAGACCAGGCTGTCCTGGAACTCACAGAGATCCACCTGCCTCTGTCTCCCAAGTGCTGGGATTAAAGGGGTGCATCATCACCGCCCAGCTCATCTCTTCAGCCTTTAGCCTTGAACACAGCATGTGCAATTCTTACTTTTAAGCCAGATCTATTTCAATTGGCTATAGTTTGAATATGGACTGTATGCACTCTCTAAAAGCTATGTCAGTGTTAGTGTGATGATGCTCAGAAGCGGCAGGGCCTCTAAGAGTAGGGGTCACTACAGTGTAATACAGGTTTGGTCTCTCAGTTGCCACCCACCCTGTATCATGAACAATAAAGGATCCAAAGACAGATTTTGGGGTTCAAGCTTCAAGCTGAAGATCAGAAAAGCAAAGCAGTCAAGCCACTAGTTCTTACTCTAGCTCACGCTGAAAGTGCTGATCCTGTCTCCACCAGCTCTCACCAAGTCTCAATGTGGCTGGAGAATGAAAGCCAGCACCGAGTGCCTATTCCTGTCCTCTCATGAGTCCTGGGATTAAAGGCATGAGCTCTGTTACTCTTTTAGACGATTCAATCTCATGTAGCCTCGGGTGGTTCCATCTGCCTTTGTCTCCTGAGTTCTGGATTAAAGGTGTGTGCTACCACTGCTTGGCTTCTATGGCTAACTAGTATGGCTGCTTTGCCATTTTGATCTCCAGTGACTTTAATAAATCATAAACAATATATCTCCACAGTACCCATTAAGGTGCAAACCTTTCATTGTGACACCAGCCACATGAGGACTTTACTACAGGCTGAAAAATAGGGCCATACAATATTGGGCTTTTCGGCCTCTGACACTGTAAGCTACACATGCCTCCTGTCCTTATAAGGTTGTTAGCTTTAGGTCTTTTGCTATAGCAACAGAGAACAAACTACTACAGAACTGCTCACTTAACATAACAAAAATGATAGAACCATGAATATTTATAATGTGATCTCTCTCATTTTAGATATATATAGTAAGACATCTTCTTATTTGGATAGGGCTATAATTTACAACTTTATACCTAGGCAAGACCTGATATTTAGTTTACATTAACACTTGAGGTGGTTTGAAAGAAAAAGACTCCCATAGGGAATGGCACCATTAGGAGATGTGGCCTTGTTCGAGTGGGTGTGGTCTTGCTGGAGTTAATGTGTGACTGTGGAGATGGGCTTTGGGCTCTCATACATGCTCAAGATACCACCCAGTGTCTCAGACTGCTTCCTGTTGCCTGCCAATTAAGATGTAGAACTCTCATGGCTCTAGCACCATGTCTGCCTGCATGCCACCATGTCGAACCATGATGATAATGGACTAAACCTCTGATTAAATGATTTTTCTTTATAAGAGTTGCAGTTTTGGCCATGGAAAGGGGGATGGGAGGTTCAAGGAGGATGGGAGATTCTAGCTCATCTTAGGCTACAGGAGGATATCATGGTAAGGAGGGAGGGAGAAAACAGTCATCCAACATTTAATTTTCACCTCACAGGAACAGACATACAGCATAACATGCACAAGTGCATGTTATAAAACTCTTATAGCAAGGAACAAAGAAACATTTTGGTGAACGTGGACAAGTTGTTTCTGTTTTTTTTTTTTTTTTTTCTGTGTAAATGGAAAAGATTAGTATTTTTTCCTTAGCTATGATAATGACATAGGTAACTTGTGACTAATATGTTTCAATGAAATAGAAGATACTGGAAAATAAACTCAGAGCATATTACCAGTATAAGGAGAAAGAGTATTGCTATGGAATTGGTTCTGAGTTGCTGTGTGCTTATCTTTAGGTGTACGTAATTGTGTTATTGGATTTTTATGGAAAATATTTGTTATTGTGCTCAAATAGGTTTGAAAGTCAGAGTGGGTATCTGATTTCCCTTCTCGTTTTATTGTTGATCTCAGCAACTACTAATAAATTATTCCATATACTTCAGTAGCTAAAAGAACTCACTGTGACCTGTTGAAGACACCAGAGTTTACAGAAGATTGAGAAGGGATCCGAACCTGATTGACTACAGACTCCAGTGTAGATGTGTTCCAGGTTCCAATGACAGAACAACTATGTGCACTTCAGAAGTCACTAACTTAATCAGCAGGACAATTGTGGGACAACAATAAAATAGGTGTGAGTAAAGTTCTGCACGTGTTACATATGTGTTTAAGGCTGGCTGGACTTGCACCTCTGTCTTACTATTTACTGGCCCTATGATCTTGAGTAACTTACTGAATTGCCTATGCTCTAACTCACCTTAAAAAGAAAAAGAAAAAAAAAAAAAAAAAAAAAAAGAGGGCCACACTACCTCACCATCTATAAGGAGCAAGGGAATTATATGTGAGTAAGGCACTCCGGAGAGACCTGGCACCAAGCCACACTTCAAAGTATTTGCCTTTATCACTAGTGTCTTTTGCATCAGATCACTTCTTGCAAGCTATTTTGAAATTCCAAAATGAAAAATCACATGGATATAAGAATATTTATCATATTCAGCTAACATCTGGAAACCAACATGCTGAATGTCACATTTAAATGGAGAAGTTTGGTTAAGAAAATAAGTATCATTACTGGCTCCAACACTAGTCAAAGATACAGACTGAAGCCAGATTACATGGTGATGAACTCCTAATTTCTGCTTCCTCTCTTTTTAAATTATGAGGCAGAGGGAAAGGAACAGAACGGAGATGTCCTCAAGACAAGGACACGGCTCTGCCAGGTGCAGATATTCGGGATACTCATTACCCAGCTGCTGTTTTGTTTTTCCTCTGTGTGAGGATGGATCTGAGGAGTTAAGATCTGTAGGCTGGAGGTGACTGTGCCTATGCCCTGGCTGGATCAACACCCCCAAGCCCAAGAGGTAATATAGTAGGTAATATGCCCATTACCTACCAATGATGGTGACACACTCCCATGTACCCTGGGTGAGGGTCACTGGTGGGGAGATCCCACTTGAAGTTTCCAATGGGCTTGCCAATACACTAAGCTCTTCATATGGATACCAGGCTCCATCTCCCCTGACTCTACTCTCTCTGTCTAAAAGGACATGTGAGCCCTGACCTCACAAGGGACATCACAAGTTGGGAACCAATTCATTCTCCATGTGTTCCTCAGAGGCCGTAACAATCTAGGGTGGGCATGATCAGTACAAGAAGGCAGAGCTTCCCAGCCCCGAGTAGACAGACACAGATACCCCTCGACATACCTGCATCAGATCTTGCTTTTCCTTTTCTCCTGAGCTGATTGCTTTTCTGATAGACTTCAGTTCTGTCAGGATGGCTTTGGCTTCACTAAGTTCATACCCACTCTGGCCTCCAGACATCTTTTCATCAATTCTATTAAAAGAGGAGGAGATGAAGGAAAAGAAATAAAAACAGATAACTACAGAGGAGACACTGGTTTTGGGGGTCTCTTCCTTGGCAGATGACTTTGCATCTTGACACCACAGACTGCATGCCTCTTCCGCCAGGCTCGACTTCACCATCGGCTACCTCATACCTTACAGCTTCCTAACCACTTTTGGGCACGAAAACATTTTTGGCTGCTCCAGATGCTGTCTGAACCCAGTCTTTACCACACCCAGCCTTATCTGTAAGCCAAGAAAGAAAACTGGTAGAGATGGACACTGCTGTAGCAGCAGCCACTCAAGTTCACAGCCATGACACCCGAGCACACCTGGCAGAGCGTGCTGGCTGCTCGGAGAGTCTTTAAGGAGGGCCTGACAAATGCTTTCTTGTACTAGTGAATCTCTTACAATATTTGAATTATGTGGCTTCTTATTTCTGTCAGATATCTAAAAAGTATTTATTAAAGCTATGAATTGAGATGAAACTTCTTGCTGAATGAGTCTGAATTTAGGAAGAAGACAGATGGCAGATGTGCTCCTCTGCTAGTGTGTATTGAGCAAACAGCTCTTCAGTGAGTCAATCTGTCCCGTGTCCCCACGGATGTACTTACTGTGCATCATTATCACTGTAGGCTAGAGGACTTGGAGAGGCTCACTGTTTTTGAAGGGTTCAACCAACCTTTCTTCTACTTCTTAAGAAATTGTTGGGTCTTCTGGTCATGATAGCATCCCGCTCTCTCTAGCTATGGTCCCTCTGGGGTTCCTTATGGACACAACTTGGGTTTTACTTACAGGTAAGGCCCCTGCCCCACCAGTTCTCAGCTCTACAGTTTCTCAGGCCTACTTTAGGACTTATCAACAGACCCTCCAGAGAGATGGCAGACACTAAATCAGAAGAAGCGGACTCTGAGCTCGTCTGGTTTAAGCCATTTAATAATTAATATGCACTTTCAATGTGGAAGGTGCATCTGAATAAGACACAGTGCCATCTTAATCCCATTGCCAAACAAGGTTAACTCAAGTGCAGTCTGTAGATAATGCAACTCCCCAAGTACTGTTTTAGTGAATATTTTATGCTAGTGAACAAGCAATTAAGCCTTTAAAAGCCTAGCAAAATAAACTTGATTATAAGGTCATTTGGTAATGAAGTACAAGCAACAGAGTCTCAGAACTGCAGGCACACACACACGCACGCACGCACCCACGCAGGCATGCAAAATTTAGGGTAGGAGGTGGGCCTTGGAGATCCCAATGTCAATTGTTCCAAATGAAGAACCGAGGCCAGAAACCATATGCAAATTTACCTCTGAAAATATACAGAACAGCTAGGTGACTATTCTAATGTTTCAGACCCTGGCTGAGGAATCTAATGACCAGGAATCTAGAATACTTCATGAAAACAACATTGTTAATATTCTTTAGTTTCACTTATTTGGGAAGGGATAATTAATGCAAACTTTGGATCCTGGAAGAATTATGTCCACCAGATTAACACAGGAAGAGGCTCACTGGCAAAAAGAAATACTGTTTCCAAAGCTGTTTTGGCGTTTTTAAGCAAGGCACTTTATAAATTAAAAACAAGCAAACAAAAACTGGAGACAAACTGGGTTTCATAAAACAGAAACTGTGTCAGAGTAACTCTGCAAAGCCAGAGTGATTTCTTCCTACCTGTGCAAACCCTCGGGATGTAATGGCGACACACGCCCTGTATTCAGAATCATACTTTGCCACTTAAAAATAAGAAGCAAGGCTACACTACCGGCTTATATTTTTGAGAGTTTTCCGTTCGGATGGCAATTTCTCAGCTGCCTTAATGTATCTGGAGCCCTCCCTCAAGTCTCCCTCCTTTACCTCAAATGCTCACTTCCAGTTTTAGCTTGTTGCTTTTACTCTCCATCTACTTTCCACATCCCTCATTTGACCTGACTATAAAAATATGAATATGCTTTGATGGCTTATTAATTTTTTTGGTGGTTGTCGTTATAGAGCCATAGGCTTAGCCACTTTCTGCTCTTAAGATGAAGTAAAATGCTTTCATTTTTCAGTGTTGGAATAAAAAGAAGCTTTATTTTTTTTTCCTACTTTTTTTTTTTTAAACTTTAAAACATTTACTCTATATCTGAAAGAGGTTTTCACTTGCATGCCTTCTCTGGAAAATGTGCGCCAGAGCCAGATTTTCATGGAAACCACACCTGCTTTTGATTTGCTAAGTGCTCCTATCATTTCTCTTCTGGGGAGGCAGCATAGGGTGTTCTGGTAACCTCCAAGACACAAGCCACACTTCTGTTAGGCACTGTCAAATTTGAGGGCATGAACTGAGTAATGCAGACAGAAAGATGCTTGTTCACTCAGCGTAAAACTGTTGTGCCAAGTAAAATGAATTCTCAAGGATAAATCACATTATAATTCAAGATTCATCAAAAAGATCACTTTCTATGGCGAAGAAGTGAAATGTTACAGAAACCTGTCATGGCCACATCAAATAAACAAACAAACTCTCTCATGGAGTTAGCAGTGAGGTTTGTTTTTGTTTTTAAAGTGTAGTCTCTGGGCCCATCAGCTATCATTCAGTGTTTTAGTGGTATGGGGACAACAGCTGAAGGAAAAGGCTTTGCTTTGTGTACACCTAACATCAACAGGAGAGGTCGCTGTCCTTAGATGTTGTATGTTTCTGTTCATTCCCAGAGAAATCCGGGATCTCTACACAGATGTCTATTGTTTTCTCATGGAATGTCACTGGCACAGTTTTAAAGATGCCTTAGATTCCTATGAAAAGTGTTTGCAAGCAGACTGCTTTGAAACAACAGAGTATTGTCACATCAACACAACAAAAGCCAGCAAGTTTGGCTAACCTTTAGCCCTGGTGGTTAACATGACTTATAATTTCATGTGTCTTAAAATGTCTACTATATGGCTAAATATTGTGTGACACTCTTTAGAAGTCTGTGTGCTTTGTGTTGATACACAATTACTAGATAACACATCTAGGTCATTCTGGTCCGCAGCCAGCTGAAGCTGCTGCAAGTCTAAACTGGAGACTTACAAACAGACATCATCAAATACACCTGGCATGGAGGTCTCTCCAGACTGTCTCAGTTATTCTAATAGTCGGGTTTGAGAAGCGCTAGGATGAACGGACTTATACGGGTGTTAGCACCCTGATTCTATGAGGCAAGAAGGCTGAATCATAAGGACAAATGTCTGAGATTACAGTCATGTGTCTGACTGCTGATCAAGAGCAGTGGGTGGGCATCACAAGACACAAGTCACCATTCAGCATGAAGAACAATGAGCTCATGATACGCCAGTGGCATTCATGAGCCTTAATGGGGATAGTGCCTTGGATGGCACGAGATTTCCTAAGAAGAGAAGGCAGACTAGGATTTCATAGGCAAAAGGAACGGAGCTGGTTACTTCCCAGAGAGGTGGTTCCTGTGAACACTGCTAACACACTGCTGAGCAAACTGCTGGGGAGAACTCCGAACACAAGAAAGTGGCCAGGAAAAAGCCCTAGAAGACTGCCCTGCAGCTGATGGTACCCAGCCGTGCCCTAGCAAGAGGACATACAAAGCAGCTGAATGCTGTTATAGGACACCGTTGGTGTCCTCCGTGGTCACATGATTATGAAGACCATAGGCTTCTTCCTTCCTATCTGTGGGAGACAATGTCTCAGGGGAGCCTGGCATGGTTTGGTTGGCATGAGCCCCATCAGTAGAGAGAACAAAGTCTTCTACAGGCTGGGAATGGCATGGGTTCTTCAACCACAAGCCTCCTTTTCTTACCTACATTTTCTCTTAACCTGGGCCATTTTAACCCAAACCCAGTGGTCTGCCCCCACTTAGAGCTGGAATGCAAAAAACAGGAATGTGGCAAATGATGAGCAGGCCCCTCTGCAGAGCCTAACTTGCCCTGATTCCCTGGGGATGCATCAGGCTGGGCTCCATCCATGTGGTCTCTGGAACTCAGGTACAGCCCACCCAGTGCAGCCATCAAGGCAGCAGACCTATACCACAATCAGAGAGAAGGCTGGCAGTTGTCCAAGGCACAAAGTTAAAATTTTACCTTTGGTTTCTTTGGCTCATCTTCAATTATTAAGGAAAAAGTTCAGACCTTTTCAAAGTGTACAGGTTCTCCCCCACACAAGTATTTTTTTTTTTTTTTTTTTTTTTTTAAAGATTGCTTTTGGACTTTTTGGCACAGAGCTTTAAGCCTTTTACTTCATGTTTCTTTGAGAAATCTCTTATGTAATTGGTGTATCTATTTTTTTTATTAGGGAGCTTTGAATTGCTGTAAAGTCAATTTTAGGATTTTAATACTCACTGTTGCAGCGTTTCAAAGCCTTGCTCCTTATAGAGAAGTTCTTGCTTCATCTGGGAGAGTTCTCTCTTCAGCTTTTTAACCTTTCATGAGAAATCAGGATGACCATTAGTGTTTATAAATATTAGTAACAGCTCATTATTTCAGAAGGCCATACATCAGTAAGTTAAGAAAAATTTGCCATTTCTCCATCACATACATTCTATGGGCAGTCCATGATATAGTTAAGCTATGAGTGATGTACATAACCACCAATACTCACTGTCACTTACTCAACACTGTGACGAGCTGGGCATTATCCGATCTTGGCTTTGTGGTACAGCCAGTCAGGGTCACATTAGAACTTGTAACCATGTACATCTAAGTCTGTACCCTGGATTTCTTCCCTTCCTTTCCTGGGCTCTGCATGGCCAGTCATGCCCTGGTTTCTCACATATGCACACTGCCGCCTACCTCAGGAACCTCACACATGTTATCCCTTTGCCTGAGGCTCTGCCCAAGCTTCTCAAGGTTGATCCTTCTCACTTATCTTGTCAAATTAGTTCACTTGTCCCCTTTTCAGTAGTCTTCTTGGATCACCCTCTCTGCACCACTGTTCCACTTTATTTACCCCAGAGTATCCTTCAAGAGTTAGCTGCAGAAGTTCACTGTCTGCCACGGAGACTGCATGCTACATAAAACCATGGGTATCCCAAACATCCACAAGGCTACTAAGAAAACAAGTGATTCATAAATACTTGTTATCACACTGATGGAGGTACTTTTCCTGTTCTCCGTTACATTCCGTGGTGACAGTGATGTGACAATTTGAAGATTAGAACAGTAGACATGCCTGGTGTTTAGTCACAACCTAATGAACGTCATCACATGAGCAGAAGAAACTTATTTTCACACGTTAAGCTATATAGCTTTAGTGTTAAACTCTGTTATTTTAATGTGTTTCTGAACTTTCATTTTCTATTTATTTTACTCATTCTAAAAATATTTATTGAGTTTCCACTATGGCCAGGTCTTGGCCTGAAGCATGGACAAACAGAAACCTCTTACTCCTCCTCTTCCTGCCTCTGTGGTACTTACTGAACCACAGAGCCTGGTACAGTAGAAATACAGTCACCTAGTGAAATCAACCTTTCCAAACACTGGCAGTTCTGTGCAGAAAAGTTCAGTATAAGATGAGCTACATAAGGGGCTTGGGGCTCAAGTTCCTGCGAGGAATTGGACAGAGGTCGTCTGAGGAAGCGGTGTGAAGTGAGCATTCACTTGGTAGGAAAGGGAGGGGTTTCAGAGTAGGACAAGTGTCCAGATCTGAAAGCAAGGGAGGACTTAATTCTCAGGAATGCTCCTCTGGCTGACTTCACACAGGAGACACCTGAGGCTACAAAGGGAGGTCTGAGATGCAGTTTTGGAGCCATGTTGAAGATAAACACCTTAGGCTAAGAGCAATGAGAATCGTCCTGCATAGGCATTTGTCAACATCCAGACAGTTTCCACTCATTTGAAAGAAGAATGTTAACTGAGACAATGCCTCCATTAGATTGCCAACAGCCATGTCTGTAGAGCAGTTTCTCGATTAAAGACTGATGTGGGAGGGGCAGTGCTCCCCCTGGGAAGGTGGCCCTGGGTGGTATGAGAATCAGGCTGAGTAAGCCAGGATGAGGGGAGAGAAGAGGCCAGTAAGAAACTGTCTTCCTCCATTGTCTCTGCCTCAGCTCCTGCCTTGACTTTGCTCAGTGATGGAGTGTGACATGGAAGTGTAAAGCAAATGGACCCTTTTGTCCCCAAGTTGCTTTTGGTTATAGTTATCATCCCAGCAGAAAGCACATCGACATAATAGTCGGAGGGATTTTAAAGCACGATCTGCTTTATGAGTTTAAAGGAACATGGCAGTGACTATGCTGGTAGGACCAGCAGGACCTGTGGTGCTTGCCCTGTGGGCCAGGATGTGGGCAAGTACTTCAGAGAGCAGAGCTCAGAAGAGGCACAAATCTGGGGACTCGGTGATAGGCTCAGTGCATGGGGTGAGGGAGAAGAGGTAGCAAAGACCCCGATCAAGTACCTGGCTTGGTACCCAGGGAGAATGAGAGCTCAAGAGCAGACTGAAAAGTACGATCAAGTGCAACATATGGACTCGATGCTCAGAAAAGTGTGTGGATTAGAGAAAGGAGATGCGAAGATGTGGGAGAATGTATGACATCACTGAGACAGTAAAACCCCAAATATCTTCATGATTCAGAAATCCCAGAGAAAAGACTAAGTAAACAGAGAGAGTGGCAGGCAAGGTAGGAGAGGACAGAGCATGGTGGGGGGGTGGGAAGAGTGTCAGCGAAACAGCAGGAGCAGTGAAAGCCAATGTCTCACTTTGTGTCCACTTACATTTTATCAGGGAAATAATACAAGTAATTATGTTTCAAAGATCAGTTGTAACTACAAAGAGAAGTAAGAGCAACACTATTAGAATCTAGAGAAGATGGAGATGACTTGGGGTGAGGCTACCTGATGGAGAAGGAGATGGTTGCACTGGAATGAATGGAAGATGCAGTGAGAGACAGAGCATTCCCAGTGCATCAGAAAGACATTCACTGTTAGCACGCCAAACTAGCCACAAGTAATCAATAGCTCATTCCCTGTGTACTTGTGTATCTGACAGCATTTTCCGTACTTCTTGTTTAAAAAAAAAAAAAAAAAAAAAAGACAATACCCCTTTTATTTAAAACAACAACAACAAAAAGGCATGTCAAAAAGTCAATAGCAACCCAGTTCGGTGGGCTGAAACTGTAAGGATGGAAAAATGTAGCCTAATTCTCCCTAGACTCTGCCCCCTAGCAGTGAGTAGACAAAAGGTCACATTCTTGACAGGGCAGTTTAGGACAGCACCTGTGAGTGAATGAACAGGAAATGAGCCTTGTCATACCACCCAGAAGCCCTAGCGAAAGCAGACTTCCTGGGCTAAGCACGGGCTTGGATAGTTCAAATTGATTGGTCCGCACTGGATGCTATGAGATGATTGGTTTGTGATGCACGGGCTTTGCTGTAACCCTATAAAAGCTGTCTGAACCCTGTACCCAGGGTTCTCAGTCCTCTACCCCACCTGGAGTATGGCTGTGGACCCCAGTGCACTGGAATATAAAAGACCTCATGCTTTTGCATCAAGACTGCTTCTAGTGAGTGATTTGGGGGGCCGCCTTTCCTGAGTTGGGGCGTGAGGGTCCACACCCTCTTCGGGTCTTTCAAAACCTCTTTACCTTTGAAAAGAGAGTTGGTAAAAACTTTTATTGAGACCACGTAGGTACAACCGTTGAGTTAAACCAATCAGTAAGCACACGTGGTATTGTGCTTAGAATCATTTGGGGTAGAATAGCAGATTAATTTAAATGTTTCAAGTATTCCGTATCTCAGGGATATTAGTACTCCTCACAGTCACCACAATAACACTCAAGAGGTGAAATTCTAAATGTCCATCAACAAATAAGTAGAGGAAATATGCTAAATACCCACAGTGAAATAGTATTTAGGCGCATAAAAGCCAGAAGATTCTGCTATGCTATATGTGTTAACATGGATGGACCTTGAAGATTTTAAATAGAAGAAGCCACTCAAAGAAGAGTGTAGATAATTCTACTTACGTAAGTACTCAAATTAGTCAGACTCTCAGGAGGCAGGGGCTCGAGGGGAGGGCAGGGGAGCTGCTGCTCGAGGGGTAACAGATTGTCACACATACTGTGCAACAAGGGCACCTACAGTCAACGCTGCACACTCAACGTCTGTTAGAGCTCATGTTACATGTTCTTTTCACACCTAATAAAACTGAAATTCTAAAAAGCTAAAGGTGATCTCTGACCTCTGGATTTTATTGCGTACTGGATGACAATGACACAGGATGCTAACCGGAGCTGTCTACATTCACATGACTTAGTTTACCTAACATTAAAGCACCTGCCCATTTTAGGGAGTCTGGTACATTCCCTGAATGATTCTTATTTCAATTTACTCCCATTATACTGTCAAATGAGAACAGATGTCGTTTCTGGCCAGACATACTGTCTAGCTGTTCTTTGGTTTTGTGAGTATGGGCTTCTGTAGAAATTCGCCCACCTTTCTTTACTAACTATAGGAAGGTCATGCCTGTACTTCTGTGCTCCACTTCAAGCCACCCTCAAATACAGCCACAAAATGAAAAGACAGAGTCTGGAGCATGGCTGGAGGATGAAGCCAGCAGTGGTCTACACACCTAGCACAGTCTCCACCGAGGGAACAATGGGCAATTCTATTATTCTAGGCATTATGCTGATCACACCAACCTTCAAGTCTTACCATTATGTATGATACTGACATAGTTCCAGTTCTTATTATATAGGTGAGGAGTATGGGACCTGAAGAGAAAACAGTGGGGAATCTAGCAGAGACCAGGGTGGAAGGCAGGAGACGTTTTAAAGTTAGAATAACAGCAAAGTCGTCTACGTGAACCCCATGACTCTTTCTTCCACCTTGGAAGCGCTGATATTCCTGACCCAGAACTGAAGACATAGACAGCTCACAAGCCCAGAGCTGGAGCTTTCTCTGATGCCTGAACTTCCGGCAGCCGTAACCACCATCTAATTCTATGCTTCAGTTCCCTGGGAATCAAATCTCACAACCCAGGGTACGAAGTGAGAGGCGAGAGACCCAGGACTTTGGGTCTCTTGTCTCTGCGTTCCCTACTGACTAAGCTAAAGAGGCCGGCATTTTAAATTGATCTCAAAGTTATCTCTGGAAAGTAGGAAGACACTGTGATCATGTGAGCATGACTGGAGACCACAGCGCTTCTTCCCACTTCGGATAGACTAGAGCGCTGTCTTATTTCAAAAGCAGGAGAATGAAGAGGATGACAAGGAACAGAAGTAAACCCGAAACCTGTAAGGCTCTGAAAGATCAGGAGACGAGCAGGTTTCCCTGGGGCCGCCCCTGAGGTGAACCCGGCAGCATTAAAGCTATAATGAGAAAAATGGCATTTTACTAATGAGTGCCTTCCTCTTTTACGGTCTCTCTGTTGTCTTGCAGGAAGCTCCTCTATAAGACAAGAAAGGGCAACTGTCAACCTGCTCCT